AGCGAATAAGTTTCCACAAAATTTAACTCTTACAATAGATTTACAAGCAGATTATTCCAACAACCCTCGAATACACAAAAAAAAACTAAATTGACTCTGAATGTGATATTTCTATTGTTGAACCTTGAGCATCTCGTTGTAGGCAAACCGTAAATTTTGTAGTTTGGACAAGTTGTTGTGGATCTATAATAAAGCAACAGGGGTCGTAGGATATTTTATGTAAGAGACACCTGAAAATAATTATCTAATAATTAAATTAACTTTTGCACTTAATTGCTAATAAAGAATCTGATCGTCGGTAAAACTAATGAACGGGTCCTTACCGAGTTACATCAAAGTCTATTAAATTTTTGAAATCGGTGCACAACTTTAACGAATGGTCAAATTTTGACTTTAATATACACATGGTGTCAGACGACTCAGAATGACATGAAACGTCGAGAAAATAAATTTAGCAAATCGGATTAGCTGGCGTAGACGAATTTCTGAGGAAAGTTAATTATGAAAATCCATAATTGTTTTAAATCCATTTTTAATATAGATTTATTATTCTATAATATTTCTGTAGCTTCTGCAGAAAGGGACGCAGGTACAAAAGTCTATCATTATTATCTCAAAAACAAGCAAAGTATAGAATTTTTTAGTGATACTATTTTAAAGTAGAGGGCAAAAGATGTGTAACCAGTAAAAATGTGCTAGTCGAGCGCAAGATAAGTGCTCAAACATAGAAAGGTATATAACGTCATATGTCTGAGCGAATATTGCCGACAACAATCGCGGAACTTTCCCGATTGATTAAATGTCATATATGTCATATGTTTTATTTTAATACTATAATGGCAATTGTGATGGCTGATAATTTTGGAAGAAATGATATCAATAATATTTAATAATATTTATTATAATATTAATATAATTCAAATATTATCTGTAATAATTTTATTTCAATAACATATTGGCAATTATAATGGCTGATAATTTTGTAAGAAATGATATTAATAATATTTTCCCTTAAAAAATGAATATACATAAAATCGAATCCACCTGTTAAAATCAGTTTATATCTTAAAAGGCTTATATGAGGTACGTAACATATGAGAGTTTTGCGATTGTCGTCGGCAATGTTTGCTCAGACATGTGACGTCTTCTATCTTTGAGCACTATATACAACGGAAAAGTATGAGGACTAGTAGTCCGTGTATTGTAATATCTATGGTTATCATATAGTTGATTTACTTTAGACAGTATAATTACTGAAAATCAAATTGGACCTTTATGCCCCACCACACCCTATCACTAATCTCGCTCAATTCATTTTATTACGCAAAGGCCAGCCTGAGGGTGATTCATTCAAACGTCGCACAGCGCGAAAAGAAATGTCGTCGTTGAGACATAAAACTTTTTGCTAATACTAATATAAAACAATTTACTTTAATATTTAACATTTTAATAACAGTGGAAAAATATATAGTTAGTCGCAACTTTGTCCCCTAGTTAGTCTCTAAGGTGTGATTGAAGTTCAGCGAGCAAATAGACGCGATACGCACACAACGAATGTGATAACGGACACACGAAGCTTTATCCTGTTTTAGTTGAATATTTTCGGTACAATGTTAGACTTTTTTAAATTATCAAAAGCAAAACGATGTTCATGCAGAATAGCACTTGTGGGAGCTTCGGGGAGTCACGGTTTGTGTTCCTCCAAGTACTTTCATGGGTACTAAAATTGCGTAAACTTTATATTTATGTCGTTCGGCGACGCTAAAAATTATATTAGTTTTGTAAAAAATATATTATTATTTATATATTCATCCACTTAAGTACTTTTATGTTGGAATAAATGAGTAATTTGTTTTTAATTTAATATGCTTAATAAGTTTCAACCAGATTTCAAAACTAGTGATGCATGGCACCGTGCCTTAAGGCAAATTGCTGGAACCTCCCGTACAGCAAATTAAAGTTTTCAAGAAAGCTTTAAAAAATTTAAAAAACTGAAAAAATCGATTTTCTAGAAAAAAAAATCATTTCTTTACGTTTCAGAGGTTTCTGAACATTTTGGCATATCTCAGAAAAAATGAATGTGTGTGTATGTGTGTATATACGAAGCTAAATGTGCAAAAAATAGCAGTTTTGGAGAGAACTAAGCATCACATTTGAATGATTTGAGAAGCTTTCCGCTTATTTAATTTATTTTTCTAAATTTCTAAAAAATTTTTTTTTTGAACATCGAAAATAATTCGGATTTTAATTCTAATTCTAGCTAAAGTTCATAACATCACTTCAGATAAATAATTTTAACTTTGCTATCAGCTTATATAATTCTTATAAATATTGGACAATGTCCTTTATTTTAAATCTGATTGATCAAGTTTTGTTTATTTACTTTTTATACAAACATATATAAAAGTCGTCGTCTAATTAATGAGCTCTTATATTTTGTCTATAAAATACGAATAATGAACGTAGTTACAGTACTTATAATAATCTACTTGAAAACATTTAATATTCCTCGAATATTTTTTATGGTACGGGAAGTTCCAGCAATTTGCTTGAGGCACGATGCTATACACCACTAGTTTACTTTTGTACCGGATCTTCAAAATAGCTAAACAAGCTTTCAAAAAAATTTAGTACAAATGTTTACATAATGTTTTTTTGAATCATTCAAATCGGACGCCTCGTTATCTCAAAAACTGAATTACCATTTTTTACACTTGCTTCGTATCTTCGAAATGGCTGGATCTGCCTTTGCCAAAATCTAATCAGCATCAATTCAAATCAAATGTTTTTTAAATTACAGAAATCGGTTGATCAAAATCGTCGACGAAAATTTGTATCCAAACACACGCACACATACACACACACACACACACACACACACGTCAGTTTTTTCTTAGGTATGCCAAAATGCTCAGCATTTGAAACGAAAAGATATCCATTCATATACAAATTATTATTTTCGATTTTTTGCAATTACAATTATTGACTCTACGCAAAGTTGAATTTGGTTGTTAAATCATTAAAATTTTAGTCGAGGTTTCGTCATTAAAACAAGAAATGCTTAGTGCATAATATTACAAATCTCAAAAAACAAATATTTATTCAAATATTATTTATATTATATCTGAAATGCAGTTTTTCAATTCGGTTGTTATTATATTGTTGCGTTTTGTATTGTCATTTTACGATATAGAGCCCTCTCAGCGGGTAGAGAGCGCTTCTATCGCGGTTGCTTTTTGAAAGGCACTTGCAAAAAAGGGGTTAGGCAAAGTGTTATAACATACAACAGACAAGAAAAGAGTTTGAGGGTGCATTTCGATAGATATATCGCATACGAAATGAAGCACTACCTCTACCAGGTTCTCCGCTCATATCACCACGGTTGGTTTTATCGCGGGTAACAGTGATATCCAGGGATCCAAAAGTTTTACTATAAAAAAAGATTTTTTAAATATTACCTAGAAACAAAATTAACTAGCAATTTTTAATTCAAATGCTCGATGTAAAAGAATGAAAGCATCTTGATTATTACGACTCCGCTATTGGGAGATAAACGACAATGTTTGAAAATGTATAACAAAAATATTTTCTTTAGTTAGTTTTTTGGTTGTGAGCACTGTTGTTTAGTTTACGAGACCTTAATATAATTTTTAGTATACGTTATTTAATTGGTTTTATAAGATGTATTATTATTTTTAAGTTAGATTCAACATTTTTTTATACAACCTCTAAAAAAGTCTACATGTGGGTGACGTAAAAAGGACCAATTGAACCTTTACCCTGGAAACGGTGTAAACAATTAAAAATAGTAACAAAATGGTAAATTAAGTTAACAAAAGCAATTTTATAAGAGAAGTTAAATATTTATTCTAACTATGCTGATGATTATTTCTGACAAAATACCAGATCAAAGTTATATACAGTGTTGTCTCTATAAAAAATGTGCCCAAAAAATTTATATTTTGCATTGGTTGAATAATATAGCTATTTTTGCATATAATTTCTTTAAAAATAAAAATAAGACATCGTATCTGTTTGCCCGTTAGCTGTCCCTTTTTCCCAACCTATGGGGTAAAAAGGACCAGGCGACAAATTTTTGAAAAGCAGCAAAAAAACATATTTTTACAATGATGAATCAGCTGGAAGTTTCACTGGGCGTAGTCGGATAGTTGTTTGTTTGGTATGTGTCATTTGTAGTGTTATAATTGGTTTGGTTTTCACAATATAGTTGTTCAAAGTCAAATTTGACCTTTGTGCCCCGCCCTACCCTATAATATCCATTAAACTAAAAAACTAAATCCATTAATCATCATCACAAATTAGAAAATTACTCCGATTCACTCGTTGCTTCACTGCACATCAAAATATAGAAAACTTAAAAAATTATGGCCTATTAAAATGATCTAATAAATTGTTACTAATAGTAATTACCCACTGGGGTAACTATTATCTATAATTATATTTAATTATAGTAAATCAAAATAACTCATAGAATGTAATTAATGTTCTGGTTGTTGATAATAAAAAAATAAAATAAAAATAAAATAAAAATAAACACATAAAAGTCAAGAATCAATTAGTCAATTATCTTTTTAATTCTCCGGTAAATTACAAATGTTATGGCAAGGTTCTATTATCGTATGAGTTGGTGTTCACAAATTGTCAAAAAACTATGTAATTGCTGTGCGATCAGGTATTTTACATATAAAGCCTAACCTCCAAAAGGCACATTTGTCAAATAATAATTGTATCAGAAACGCAACTTTCTTACGTCTCTTTGATAACACATAGGTGAAGTCTAACCAAAGCTAAAATTATGACGTTTGTGCATTTTGTAGGTTATGTTTTATGTGTAAAACTAATACATAGCTTTACCAAAACATTTCAAATTTATCTGAGAATTGGCCCCTAATTTGTCTATTTAAAATTAAGGACATTGTTAATGGTGATTAATTTCTCAAATACAATCTGTGTTCCTTTATATTTTTTATGAACTACAGCTTGAAATCACTGTTAAAGATAGACGTTCGCGAGAACGTGTGTTGTGTTATTGTCATCCTGTTAGACGTGTTGACGAAAGGGGAAAATACGAAAAATCTCTCAGAGCGAAAAGTGATATGACACCTCGCGCTTCGCGCCCGTACGTGCTTTCGGTGTATAGTTTAGTTCTAATAGCACCAACAAGAGTTTTCCAAGACATACACTTCAGCTCGGAAAATTTCTTTCATCTTAAAATAAAGCAGTAGTGACAAATTTCAACCATGATTGCATGTGTTGACAACTTGAAACCGAGAAATCAATGGTTATATTAAAAATCTTTTCGAATTGGAGATGCAATAATATAATTTAAACTAGTGGGGCGCACGGCATCTAGCCTTAAGGCAAATTGCTGGAACTTTCCGTACCAAATATTATTATTTTTTAAAAAACGATTAACATTTTTGAAAAAAATTTACTTCAAAAAAGATAGATTTTTGAGAAACTAGGAATTTGACATAAAATTCCTTTTTTTGAAAAAAAAAAAATTTTTTGAAAAAATGTTTTTTTTTATTTTGACATATTTTGGCAATTCCGAATTTTTTTTTCAAAGCAATCGTACTGCTTTAACTGCATAGAGACAAAATGTCAAAGCGCGTAAGCGCCGCGTCGCCGTCTAACGAATAAACATTGGTACTGAACCCACAGGAATGTAAACAAAATTTATACTTATTGTTAAAATCTCTATAAAATATCTGATAATTTGATGTGCATATGTCTAATGTTCATTTTTGACCGCCAAATGGCATTTTTTTTACTTTTTTAAAAAATTTTCATTTTCGATTTTTTTGCTATTACTATAACTTACCCTACGGAAAGTTAAATATAGATCAAAAATATGTTTCCATTTTAAAATAAGATCATTTCTGGCACTGTGGTGTGAAATGACAATGGAGATGTCTCACTCTATTCTTCCCTGAATCCAGTTGGAGTTCAACTCAGCTGACGGACCTGCCTTAGGGCAGTATCACCTATTATTTATCATTGAAAAAATAAAACCTAACCATTTTATCATAAGTGCAACTTTATGATGTCTCTTTGGTAACAACACATACGCGTAATTATGGATAAAACGACCGATTGCACAGAAAATACAAAGCTTTTTGACAGTACGTGACTACTAACTCATACAATTATAGACCCGTAAAATAGCATTATCAAAGCATTTCTATTTTATCTGAGAATTGGCGCTGGTATTCCGTCAATTTTTCAGAGCCTACAACAGTAAAGATCTTGCATAGTTTTATTATGAAATGTTTCTAGTATTTTCAACTGTATTTTTTAGCAAATAGCTCTATTATCTCCCCCTCTAGTATTATACAAATCCTAACATTATCTCTGTGTTTTCTCAATTGCATCTTCTTCAACTTTCGTTCGTCCTTTCCGATCACACTTTTCGTAACGTCAGGAATTCCAGTTCACGTACGAAAGTTTTAAGTCCAAAATAGATAATTTTGGAGGAGCACATGAATCTCTTTTCCTCACAATTTCATTGACTATTTCAATATCAATCTCTCATTTCTTGAGATTAGTTTATCGCCGATCAGATCGACTCCGATGGATTGCAAGTGAAACAAACGGACCGATAATGGAAAGGCATAGTTGCGCACATGTCGAGCCATCACGTCATCGCAGATATAATACTGCAATACTGTACAGTTTGCGAGCTGCGTACTTGTTCGGGGTATAATGGATCTAAAATAGTTCCGGCTCGTTAAACCGCGCGTCGGGGTGGCGATGCACGGATCAGAGCCAGCCGCGAGTGTTAGGATGAGATTGCGACATGCAACCGATACCTAGATCATGAACACTTGCTGTAGAATGTAGATGAAACGTCGATTTAAATTGATTTTGAGGAAATAGAAGTATATGAATCAATATTTCATAAACTAAAGAGCTAGTGATTTTGCGAAGATACCTAGATTTTTTGTGATCATATGATGCCTCTTAAATTCTTTGGTTGCAAGAAATACATTTGAATTCGTTTATATTAAGATCAAAGCAAATTGACAATTGACAAAACAATTGACAACAAAGGTCTTTGTGTGACAATATGAGAACGTCACACAAAGACCTTTGTTAAAAAAACCTTATCTATGCAAATATGTATGTAGTTATATATTTTAACAGAGAAACATGGGAACTATATGTGTCTACATGTTAAACTAGTTGGTATTGGTATTTTGCCTTGAGGCAAGTTACATGAACTTCCCGAAATGTATAAATAATCGATTTAATTAATAAAAAATAAATTAACTTATGAGTGATTAAAAGTATTCCGAGTGGATTTATTACACATAACGAGCACGTCGTTAAATCAGAGTATTTTCTAAAAGCAAATTTTCAAAAAAAAATTATAATTGAACCAGTTTCCGTAGGGCTTTAATGATTTAGTATGTTCATTAGGACCAAGTGCTCTATTGTTATACCAAGTAAATCGTCTAATTTTAATTTTAACTTTCATGAATTTTCAAAATTAAACAACTTGTCGTAAGACCGTAATATTTCAGTAAGTTCTATAAGGCCATGATATATATCACCAAAAAAGTTCAATAAAAATCGGCTTAGATTTCTTTTATTTACAAGAAAAGGGTTCCGTAGATTTTCCCCTAAAACTAATCAGTATCATTCTCAATTAATATCTTTCAAAAAGTTTTTGATTTTTTAAAATCAATTCGGTAGTATGAGCTTAAATGTGGACGAAAAGTTTAACCTTTTTTTCCAAATTACAAAGAAACGGCTTGGCAGATCGTCGCACAAAACTCACGAACGATAGTCCTAATTGAGGTACATCAAATGGCTTTTAAATTTCTAAAATCGGTTCAGGCGTTTTTGAGAAAACGTCGATGAAAGGTCTAATTTTGACAAATGCCAAAAAATTACTAATACTAATATACCGATACTAATTTTTGCAAACTTTGACGAATTTTTAAAATTAAACGACTTGTCGTAGGGCCGTAATATTTTAGTATGATCTATAAGACTATAGTATCTACCGTCAAAAAAAAAAAATAAAAAAATATTTACTTACATATTCGTGCAGTGATGTACAGAAGTCGAATTGGCCCAAAATTATCTGAAAATATAGTCGACAATATTTTAGAATTATAATATGAATTAATATTGTTTATTAGCTCAATATTAGATTGAAAAGAAATTGTACACAAATTGAATTTGTGATATATTTCTAATCGAATATTTTTTAAAATCATGCTATAATATAAAATGTTCATCGTTCACATAATTATGAACTTATTTTTCATCTTACAAATACTTATAAATTTAGTGAACAAAATATTTACATTGCTAAAATACATCTTATATAACATAATTGACTTGTACGTATAGTGTTATCAATGCACTTATGCTTTGAAAAAATAAATAAGTAAATCAATAGAAATTAGGGTTTACACAAAACCCTAAAATATGTTAGAAAACCGGTTTTCGAAGGTTCTTTCTGATTGTAACCGGTTTTGAGTTTTCATAGGAAATTATTAATTTACTCGAAAAATCCGAACAAAAAATGTCATCAGAAAATTTCGTGTTATTTAGAGCAGTTTTGACTGAAATTATTTACTGTTCAATTTTATTGATAATTTTTTTATGCAATTTAGTAAAACAAAAGCAAAATTGACCAAAATTAAATAACTTTAGAAACAATCAGTTGTTTATGCTTAATTGTTACATATAAGGGTGACGAGGTAAGACTATAGATTTTCCATCGATAATACATTTGTCTTTTTACATTTTTAAAGGTGTAAATCATATATTGAAAACCGGTATTTTGCACTAAAAACCGATTTTGAAATTTTATCATTTTTTCTTATAAAACCCGTTTTTTTTTTGAACGGACAAAATGTATGTGTACTATTTATTGGAGCAATTGTAATTATTTTAATACAATCTTTAAGATCAAATTTAGCTAATTAACCCCTAAAATTATAGCAAAACTGTAATAATATATTTCGTAATAATTTATTGCATTTTATTTCTTATTTACGAAAGTCAAGCTGCAATCGATAAAACCAACAGTAAAAAAATTGTAAACCAACAATAATATAATTCTTGTTTTACTTGTGATATTCAAAGGGAATGGCTTTGAAATCCGATACTAACACACTTGCTGTCGGCCTTATGCCAGGATTTAGCAAAGTTGGGGTGCGTTCATCATTGAGATACTTCTGCTCACTATCTATTGCGCCCGAAGCTTTTTAAAGCTTTTTTTTTGTCTACGGGTTGTATGCAATTGCACATACTACGACTTACTGACACGATTAGCATTTATGCACCAAATTAATTTATATAATAATATAGCATTGGTTTCTAACATTATTTGGTAAATATATTATTTTTTGTTGCAGGTTACTTTCTGCTTGCGCAACTTTAGAGATGTCTAATTTCGATTATAAGAAATTGCTGCATGCGATCCATGCTGTAAGTACTATAAATAAATAAATAATATAAATTGGACTGCATATATATATATATACATGTCTCTATATGCATATGTTTATGTTAAGAAAAGTTTACAGTGAGTAAAAAAGAAAATTGTTAAGATTTTAGAACATCTTTACAATTCCATTTTGAGGTGAATTTGTACTTTATCTGACTTTTTTATATAAATGATTGCAATGTACAATAATAGTTATAAGAATTTTCAGTAACATTAAAACTTCTAGTAATAACTTTTTGGAAATTGATTGGAAAAACCTTGAGAAAAGCCATGATAAATCAGTTCATAGCCTGGAAGAATTATTTTATATTCTGCTTGACTATCCATAATCAACGCGAGTGCGTACCGAATTTCCTCAATTAGCTTCTAAATTTTTGACATTAGTGCAACCGTTTTGGAAAAAATATTGACGAAAGGTTAAAAATGGCCTCTCGTTCATACATACACATACTCTTCCAAATTTGATCTCAAACGGTTTAGAATGACTTGAAAAGTCAAATGAAGTTCAAATCTGAATTTACCACCATCCAAAAAGAATTATCATAGAAAGTTTGCCAGTTTTTTTTTCTTTTGAAAATAATATTAATAATAATTTAAGAAAAAATAAGTATGTTCAAACATAATTTGATTTGAATTAAAGGCAAAACCTGCTGCTGTGAATGGCTCTGAACCCACCGCTGGTCCCTCAGGAGTTGGTACAACGGTAAGATTTTTTGCGATTACTATAACTTCTATTTTACGGAAAGTTAAAGGGGTAGTAAGGGGTATACAATCAAATCTGAATTTATCACCATACAAAAAGAATTATCACAGAAAGTTTGCCAGTTTTTTTTTGTTTTTGAAAATTATATTAATAATAATTCAAGAAAAAATAAGCATGTTTAAATATAATTTGATTTAAATTGAAGGCAAACCCAACTACTACGAATGGTCATGATTCCACCGCTGGTCCTTCAGGAGTTGGTGGAACGGTAAGATTTTTTGCTATTACTATAACTTTTACCACAGTAGTTAAGGGGGGAGCCTGCTTTAGAGATTTAAAAAATCGCTTTTTTGGAGAAATTTTTAAGGAAAGTAGTAAATATTTAATAGATTTCATTGTTATGTATTTCAACATTTTTCTCAAATTTTTTCATTAAAATATATGTCATAATATGTCGGGTACAAGCATTTTGCCCATGCGCCAGGAGCGTGCAGATGTTATTTGGCGTGAAAGATGCAGGTCACATTTTGATCCGAACCAAAAAAAAAACAAATTTATAGTTTTACTAGTATAGATTCTAGTTAAACGAGAATTTCACCAACTTAAAAAAATCATGTTTTTTGATAAAAAAAAAATCACTTAGATTACTTAAAATGTGGGTTAAATATAACTTTTTTTATAAGGTTTTTCAGGTTCAACTAGAAGAGATTTTAATCCTGAATATTATCTATTTTGTCTAGTTTCGATAGGACGTTCAGTTTTGTTGGTATCTTTCTCGTCAATTAGGTAAAAACGTAAAAATTAAAAGCCGAGAAATCGAGCATTGATGTTTTCATTCCGCTCATATACATGCTCGACACTTGCTCACTATTTCTTCTGTAACTTTGAAAATAATTTGAATTTGGTCCTGAAGTTTTAGCTATATATTCTTCACTAGTTTTGTGAGACATTTTTGTGAAAAAAAATATATAAACTAGTGGGGCGCATGGCATCGTACCTTGAGGCAAATTGCTGGAACTTCCCGTACCAAAAATTATTATTTTTCTAAATAGATTAACATTGTTGAAAAAAATTTACTTCGAACAAATTAGATTTTTGAGAAACTAAAAATTTGACAAAAAATTATTTTTTTTTTTTACTTTTTTCACTAGGCGTGCGAAACCGCTAGACCTGCCCTCAATAAAATTTTAAATCAATTCTTCATCTTGTTAATACAAGTAAAATGTTTTTTGGATTATTAAAATCGGACGCTCCGTTCTCTTAAAAACCGAGTTTCCATTTTCGGCACTTTTTGCCCCGTATCTTCAAAATGGGTAGACCTGCCTTCGCCAAAAACTAATCAGCACGTCTCCTTATCAATACCAATCGAATGTTTTGTGAATTATTCAAATCGTTTCATCCGTGTTCCCGAAATCATCGACGAAAATTTGTATCCGCACACACATACATACACGCACACACACATACACACACACACACACACACACACACACACACAAACACACATACATCAATTTTTTCTAAGGTATGCCAAAATGTTCAGAAGGTTTTGAAACGTAAAGATATATAAAAATTTTAATTTTCCATTTTTTTGCGATTACTATGACTTGCCCTACGGGAAGTTAAAAACAGGCTCCCCCCTTAAAAATGTGTTTTCAAGTTAAAATAGCGCCTAATTATAGAATTGCTGCACTATTTTAAAAATATATCGTTATAATAACTGATTATTATCAGAACAATTCTAATACAAAATATCTCATATTTTATTGAATTATTCTAAAAATTCGCGTGTTAAATTTTTTCAAGTACATTTATCGAGTGCCCTGAATCATTCCCCCGCCGAGCCCTTCGGTTGTGTATTTCGCGGCCAACATATTGCCCATTATCCAATTCTTACGGGGCATTGTTTGTCGGCGGTCGCCCGATGCGTTGCCATGTGTTAGCCGGTTTGAATTTCGGCTCGGGCTCGAAACGGGCGCGAGGGACCCCATTCTTTCGGCACACAAAACGGCAATGCGCGTATGATATAGCGACATGTGTGTGCGTATTTTTATTAACAGGTTGTATGATATAATGTACATTTCATTGCACCCTATCACTCATCTTTTTACGTGAATTATGAGATAAAATCTGTGCGATTCGCTGTCGTATCTAAAAATGTTATGGAAATTATTACGGTTTTCAATTTGATTATAGAGGAAAATGATGAAATGATTAAGAAATCATAATAATCCTCTATATATATAAAAATAAGTCGGGTTTTCCTTCCTGACGAAATAACTCCAGAACGCACGAACCGATTTCGACAATTTTGCATTCGTTGGAAAGTTCTCGGGCTCCGCAATGTTTATAGCTAAGAAAATTAGTGGTTCATAGCAACGTGCCCTAATGCAAATTGCTGGAACTTTACGCACCGTAATTAAAAATCCGAGTAATGACATTAGTGAGAATTATCAGAATTATGCTTGGTTAAGTCAACGAGCAATTCTTACCGCAAAGAATAATGATGTACACGCACTGAATTTCATCACTCAATCAAAAATTGCTGGCGATTTCATGACATACCAATGATTCTGACTGGTCTTCCGTTTGACTTCAAACGATTGCAATTTCCAGTTCGCCTTGCGTTCGCTTTAACAAGTCGCAAGGCCAATCGCTTAGTGTTTGCGGGATAAATTTCAAATAGATTATTTAAAAATCATTGTTTTTCACATGGGCAGTTATACGTTGCCTGTTCACGAGTTGGAAAACCATCCGCTTTGTTTCTGTTAACGTCAGACCAAAAAACAACAAATGTGGTTTACCAAAGAGCACTTTAATGAAACGGATAATTTGCGGATTCACTTTCATTTACTTAGAGAAGTTCAACTAGAAAACACTTCATTTTTGTAATCGAAATAAATTCATTACTGCTGTATAATAAAATCAATTTTTTTCTTTTCAAATATAAAACAAACAAAAAATTTCTTGATCTTTCTTACGAAACCATCTGGTGGCGAAACGGAGTTCGTCGGGTTTGCTAGTAATGTATAATAATATGTTTTTATTTTTATATTTTCTAAATTACTAACAATTTTGATCTCTAGTAAAATATTCAGAAATTTATAAGTACAATATGTCTAACAAGATAATAAGAATTTTTTGATATTCTGAATGTACTGTTTTAGTGTTTTATATTATAAGATATTTATCTGCTTATTGTTCATAAAAGAACAGATAGCAGAATAATATTAAATAAAAATAAAAAAGTACTGTTAGTTTAATAAAATAAAAAATATTGAATAATTTATAGAAATTTTGCTCTAGTTTAATTTCCTTTATAGCTATTTTGCCATTAGTGTTCAATTATCAACAAAAAAAACCTACATTTAAATTATTTTGTTTCTAGATCTTTTTTGCATAATTTAACATTAAAAATATTTATTTATTAGAAGAATGTGGAAAGACTTTAGGGCGACCGTACTCTAAAACTATCGATTTTACAAAAAAAAAAACGGTTATTGAATGAATTGTAGGAAATTTTCTCTAGTTTGATTCGTACGTAACAACTTCTATCGTCGAATGAGCGGGAAATGGGATACTGTTAAAAAACTTTTTTTGGCGCCATTTTTTCAATATGGCGGCGACTTGGCGTAAAAATTAGAGGCGGCAAAGTTAGAATTTGTAAGAAACCCTCACATTGAAATCTATAAAATTACCTATTTTCAGAATTTCCGGAGTAATATACTGGCAACAGCTGTTTTGAGCCAAATGACTGGACTATTATCCAATCAAATCTGAATTTACTTACTACCATATAAAAAGAATTATGATAGAAAGTTTTCCAGGGTTTCTTTGAAAATTATATTAATAATAATTTAAGAAAACATAAGTATGTGCAAATATAATTTTATTTAAATTAAAGGTAAACCCTACTAGTATGAATGGGAATGATTCCACCGCTGGTCCCTCAGGAGTTGTTAGACCAGTAAGTTTTCTATAATACTATAATTTTATAGTAAATTGATTTTGATTCGTTTTTTTAATACAGCTTTGAAGTTTAATATACAATGATTTTACAGAGTCATAGTTGCAAGTTTTTAGCTATTTTTAAACCTAAATTGCCATTTTTTGCATTTTCCCCGTATCTTCGAAATGGCTAGGCCTGCTTTTTTCAAAAACTAACTTCTCCATATAAATAGGAATTAGATGTTTTTCGACCCGTGCTTTCGGAAGCGTCAACGAAAATTTGTATCCGCACATACATACATACACATACACACAAACATATATAAATTTTTTTAAAAGCTAAAAATATGCAAACATTTTTGTTTTTGATATTTTTGCTTTACTATAAATTACCCTACGGGAAGTTAAACATATAACTAAATTTTATATCAAAATTTTTAATTTTTAACAGTTATATATAGAAACAAGCAACGGTTTTGACCAAGCCACTTTTCAAGATCAATTAAAACAAAATAAAACTATTATATGTATATACTCAACAGTAATAAAATAATTTATCACATATTTAAAACTTGTAATTCCATTTCAAGGGAATTTCTACAGCAGAGAACAGACCAGGCCCATGGAGATTCATTATTGAAACAAGGGTACTGTATATTCAATAAAAGTCTTTCTAAAGCTGAATGATTAGAAAATTGTAATGCCTTTCATACAAAATCCTGTTTTTTTTAAGCTTTTGAATTTAACGTTTATATATAGTATTAAGAAATGTAATTAACTCTCACACACATTTTTAAATTAGTGTATTTTTTTTAGAACCGTAGATTTTTTTATAAACTGCTTATCCAATCAAATCTGAATTTACCACCATATAAAAAGAATTTTCATAGAAAGTTTGCCAGGATTTTTTTGAATACTTTATTAATAACTAATTCAAGAAAAAATATGTATGTTCAAATATAATTTAATTTAAATTACAGGCATACCCGCCAACGGTGAATGGCACAAATTCCTCAGCAATTGTTAGATCGGTAAGATTTTTTATAATACTATAATTCCAAAACATTGATCTTGTTTTGTTATTTTAATACAGGTTTGAATTAAATAATTTTTTTAAAATCTTTTTTCTCGTTGGATCTACGAAATGCTGGATCTGTCTTCCAAAAAAAAAAACAGTGTTTTATTTAGTCAATTCAAATGAAATGTTTTTTTTTGAATTATTCATATCGGACGCTTTGTTCTCTCATAACCTAAATAGCAATTTTTTGCATTTTTTGCCCTGTATCTTCGCACATACATACATACACATCAATTTTTTCAAAGGTGAAACCATGCAGAAATTTTTGTTTTTGATTTTTTTTGCTATACTATAAATTGCCCTACGGGAGGTTGAACATATAGCTAATTTTTATATCGAAAACTTTAAATTTTAACAGTTAAATATGAAAACAAGCAAATGTTTTGACGAAGCCACTTTCTAAGATCAGTTCAAACAAAATAAAACAATTACATGTATATCCTCAACAGTAATAAAACCCACTTACTAGATATTTAAAATTCATAATTGCATTTCAAGGGAATTTCTGTATCAGGGAACCGACCAGGTCCATGGAGATTTATTATTGAACCAATGGTAAGTCAGATAAAATTATTACGGTTAATTTTGATTTGCTAAATTTGATTTCACAAAATTAAATAATCACGCGTGCCACTGATGTTGGAAAACGTGGTAAAGAACTCATTTCCAAAAAAGTCGAAATCTTCATGGATCAGTTGCAAAACTATATAATCGATTTTTATGTTACTTCTACATTTCTCATGTTTTACAACTACCAAAGTTAACTAGTCCTAAATAATTTTAAGAAATTTCAATACCGATAATTAGCAAAGGTGCCAAAGACAAAATAAATCAAGAAAAAAAGAACAAAGGTGAGAGAGGAAAGTGCTGCTACTAGAAATTGTAACAATGTAATGTGGAATATATATTAGTACTTAATAATTTGCATGGTCAATATAATTATTTAATTTTATTTAAGTATCACTTACATTTACAGCACGTAATACACGAGTACACTGGAGTAAGGGCTTTGAATAAAATTTTGGTAATTATGGTTGATATATAAAAAGTTCATTGATGTATTAAGTAGGCACTAATTAAGGCAATATTCTTTTTACATAGTTACAATTTTTCATAATCTCATTTTTCTACTGTTTGACTTCAAAATTAAGCAGAACAATATGCCTAGAACCCGGTCATTAGAATTTCTTTTACTTTTGCTGATTTTGGGATGAAGAAATTACAAATTTTAAAATTATGCTTACTGAATACTCAAATGGCCTATAAATAACCTCTGACATAATTTACCTAATATTTAAAATTTCTATATTCAATAGTTTGGGCGTCCAAAGGCAATTGAACCACCAAAGGAGACGATTGAACCAGCGAAGGAGACGAATGAACCACCGAAGAAGAGGGTTAGGTTTTGCGAAGAGAACCTGAGGAGTACACAAGTTAGCATTAGTAATATATATATATATATATATATATATATATATTAGGGTGGTCCTTAATATGGACATTTTCGAATTTCCTTCCTCCCAAGGGCTCAAATGGTTCCAAATTGATAAAAAACAATTCTCTGAAAATTTTAGCTCTTAATATTAACTTTTATATAGTGCGCAGTTCAATCAAATTTCGTATGGAAATAGCATGAAAAGAATTTTGAAAATTTAAAAAAAAATGTGTTAGGTATAACTTAGCGACAAATGAATGAGTTTTATTCATTCATGTGCTCGCTAAATTACATCTAAAAAACATTTTTAAAATTTTTGAAAATTTTTTCATACAAATTTCCAAAATTACGCTTACGTAATATTCAAATGGTTCATAAACTACCTCTGACATATTTTAAAATTTCTATATTCAATAGGATTGTCGTCCACGGATTGAACCAGGCAAAAAGCGGGTACGATTCCGTGAAGACGACTGTCCTAAGACAAAGAGACAGATGCAGGTTAGCATCAATAACAATTTATATATAAATATATATATTGGAAACTATTATCGACTCTGAAGAACACATTTTCAAAACTCAATATTAAATATGCAAAAGCCATCAATAAAAAAATATTTTTATTACACTATAAAAATAAATGGATTGTACCGAATTTCATAACTAATATTATTAACAAACAGTTTTTCCAAAAAAACTTCAAATATATATAAAATTGAGCGGCAAATATACTTACAAAATTCAGTATTTAAATTAGAAATAAATAATTCTTTTATGGACATAAAAAATAAAAAAACACGAATAGATCAGATAATAAATACACTCCGAAAAACAATAGATAAAAATACTTTTAACAAGTTTTTAGTATTCGAAAATACAAAATACGATAAACACTTTTATATTATTAAAAATGAACAAATACAGAAATTAAAAAATCTTATACAAAATCGAGATAAAAATTATCCATTTCATGTTTCTAAATTTTCGATAGACAAATGGCTAATAAATAAAACCTATATATTCCAGAAAATATCCAATACATTTTAGTACTCAGTCCAAAATTCAATTACGCACCTAGTAAATGCAAAAATAATGACTTCATAAAAATTTAAAGTACCATAATATATATATATATATATTAGGGTGGTCCTTAAAATGGTCATTTTCGAATTTCCTTGCTCCCAGGGGCTCAAATGGTTCCAAATAGATAAAAAACAATTCTCTGAAAATTTTAGCTCTTAATATTAACGTTTAGATAGAGCGCAATTCAATCAAAGTTTTGTATGGAAATAGCATGGAAAAATTTTCAAAAATTTTAAAAATGTTTTTTAAATGTAATTCAGCGAACAAATGAATGAATAAAACTCATTCATTTGTCGCTAAGTTATACCTAAAACATTTTTTTTTAATTTTCAAAAAATTTTCCATGCTCTTTCCATACAAACTTTGATTGAATTGCGCTCTATATAAACGTTAATATTAAGAGCTAAAACTTTCAGAGAATTGTTTTTTATCAATTTGGAACTATTTGAGCCCCTGGGAGCAAGGAAATTCGAAAATGACCATTTTAAGGACCACCCTATATATATATATATATATATATATATATATATATATATATATATATATATATATATATATATATTAACAAAGTCTAATAATCGGGCATAACATCAATAAAAAACATGAATTTCTTTCAAAAATTTATTTTTTTCCGAAACGTATGGATTTAAAATAAATTTTTGAAAGAAATTCATGTTTTTTATTGATGTTATGCCCGATTATTAGACTTTGTTAATACATATGTCAACATCAAATTCAGAATCATACAAAATATATATATATATATATATATATATATATCTTATATATAAAATTCTTCTGTAACAATGTAAGTTTCATATTTCCTCCTAAACTATAATTCGGATTTTCATGAATCTTCCTAAAGTTTGTTCGGGAAATTTTTTAGAATGTTTTGATTCATAGAAATATAGTTAAATTGTAGAAATAAATAGAAAAAATTACAAAAAACCGCTTATCATTGTTTGCCCTTGAAAATATTTGAAGCTTAGTTTGACATTAAAAACAATTGAGGACTGTCATTTGCCAAACATTTCTATTCACTTATAGGCTAAGGCAATATTAGAATATAATAAATTCATAATTATGAATAAGGAAAATGTAGTGTCTACATTATTAATGCCGAAAAGCAGCTGAGATGTGCCAAAAATTAAATTAATATAAGATGCAAATAATATAACATGCATTTGACAAGTGATGCAGTCTGCGCATGCGTCTGACGTGCGCTTTTGCTTGCAATAATTTTGTTTGCGCACTTTGCGAACAGATTCGCCATACGAATTCGCGCAAAGGAGCGAGCCATAAGTGATTGCGCTCAAACATATTCAATTTGCAGTCGTTTTGCCTTACTATACTAAGTCACAATACAAAAAAAATTATTTAGAAGTTTCATTGTGTCAAAAATTCATATGTTTGTCATTGGGTACGGAATATTTACTCAATGGAGCGCTTTGGGTCTGAAATTTTTACTATTTTCCAATTCGTTTGGAATTTTGGAACTAGGTTCATCTTACTGTTCAGAAGTGAAAACAATTTAGACTCCTTTACCATTTCTCGGGTGGATGACATTTCTTTTCAGTGGTGTAATTTTACTTTTTTCAAAATAACGTTGGGTATCGATAAAAGAACTAATTATACGAGAAAAATATTTAATAATGTTTTTCAAAAAAGGAAATACTTTTCAAGTTACTGGCTACTGAATATTTGTTTCTTTTTTGCGTTTTTCATCATTTGTTGCTAACACCTTCAAAAATATACATTTTAACAAAAATCATGTAATGAACAGAATTATATCAATTAAAATCTTAATAAATCGTTATTTTATAGTGTTTTAGGAACATTATTAGGCTAGATATGAAAATGGGTTTTTATAGTGCTCAAAATAAGCTTTAAAATGAGTACTTCTGCGTGTAAAATGAGTGAGCTATCATGCAGATAAAGGACGCATGCAATGTTTTTTTTTTCATTTAAATCAAATACTTTGAGTGCCATATCCACCAAAATTAAAAATAATCGTATTCAATCTAGAATTAACTTGGTTTAAGAGATCTTGATGGATTCTAGAAAATACCACAACTTTAGTACAAATGATTCTTAAAAAACTCATGATTTCATGAAAAAAAAAACATTTTAAAAAAAACAACCAATTTCTCATCATAATACCTCTGAAAGAAAACGTATAAAAGTATATATATATAAGAAAATTCGAGGTATTTTTTTGACTAATTATTATTGTTTATTATTTTTTCGTTACACAAATATTGATAGATGTATGATTAATTAAGGAGCTGTCCAACCAGAGGTCTTTCGAGCCCTTTAACCCTTCGCCGTTTTACAATGAGAGAAGTTACGGTAAAATTAATGATAGAGAAAGTTGTAGCTCATTTAATCACCTTTAAAATAGTGTATTACAAGTTCTGATAAAATCAGAATTAAAAGAGTAATAATCCAATTAATGCTGTGGATGGTGACGGAGTGCAAATTGTTAAAAACATTGAAATTAAGATAAAGATTAGCCTATTTCCAAAATATCAAGTAAATTGGAGCACAGTAAAAAAAAATTACAGAGCAATAATTTTGTTGATCGTAAGTTGAATAGAGCACATGTGAACAGAATTTGACAAATTAATTCACTTCAAATATAAACTTAAGCAATAATGTATATTGATTTATTAGAGAAAAAAATGCAATTTAGATATTAAAATTACTTAAAGCCAGTTAAAATATGGTACAAAATTATAAAAATTATAGGCAACATTATTGAAGCAATTATTTTGGGTGAGAAAAATAAAAGGTGATATTGCACCTTTGCCGCGAATGCTATATATTAATTCTTTCTGAATTTGTTGTACTTTTTAAAAGATTTCAATTTTCAACATGAGTATCTTATGCTAAGACCATAAATCAAAAAGGCAGACGATCATTTTTAGTGTGATAAATTTGGAAAATCAATGTTTTAGTCGTGAATAAACAAAAAATCATTCATTTATACATCCACATCTACAGGTATGGCTAAAAATACTATATAACCCTTAAATGCAATAAAATAAATTGAGCTATTGGAAATAAATTTGTTCTATAAATCGCAGTGTATAATTTTTAATATACAATTTTATTGAACATTTTTTAATATTTGTTAAATAAATAATTAAAGTGTTAACTGTGGGAATTGAGAACAATCATTTTATTTGAAACAGTTTTACATTCAACATCACTTATATATTGGTGTAAATAGTAATTCAAAAAACAGTAATTATTATTTTTAACTAAGCAGTAAATATTAGTATAAAATATTGAAAAATTGTAGACGTAGGTACAGAACAACGTCTGTCGGGTCAGCTAGTATATATATATATATATATATATATATATATATATGTATATATATATATGTATATATATATATATATATATATGTATATATATATATATATATATATATATATATATATATATAATATATATATATATATATATATTAGGGTGGTCCTTAAAATGGTTATTTTCGAATTTCCTTGCTCCCAGTGGCTCAAATGGTTCCAAATTGATAAAAAACAATTCTCGGAAAGTTTTAGCTCTTAATATTAACGTTCAATCAAACTTCGTATGGAAAGAGCATGGAAAAAATTTTGAAAATTAAAAAAAATGTTTTAGGTATAACTTAGCGACAAATGAATAAGTTTTATTAATTCATTTGTTCGCTAAATTACATCTAAAAAACATTTTTAAAATTTTTGAAAATTTTTCCATGCTATTTCCAACTTTGATTGAATTGCGCTCTATCTAAAAGACAATATTAAGAGCTAAACTTTTAAAGAATTATTTTTTATCGATTTGGAACCATTTGAGCCCTGGGAGCAAGGAAATTCGCAAATGACCATTTTAAGGACCACCTTAATATATATACATATATATATATATATATATATATATATATATATATATATAATATTATGGCGGGTTTAAAAGTCACATACGCACATATGATTTGCAATGAGATCAAAATAAGATACTTTGCTGAAAAAATCATACCTCTAAAATGAATTTTGATGTCCGGCAAATGATATACATTTTTTAACCTTTTTAATTTGATCTTTTGTAAATACAAGTAAAATGTTTTTTGAATCAATCAAATCGGATGCTTTATTCTCTCAAAAACTAATTTGCCATTTTTTGCATTTTTTTCTCTGTATCTTCAAAACGGCTAGACTTGCCTTTTCCAAAAACTAATTTGCACATCTCCCTATAAATAGGAATCGAATGTTTTTTGAATCATTCATATCGGCTAATCCGTGCTTTCGTAATCGTCAACGAAAATTTGTATCCGCACATACAAACACATAGACACATATATACATGCATTTTTTAAAAGTAAAAATTTTCACTTAATTTTTTGCTGTACTTATCCTACGGGAAGTTAAATATATACCTAATTTCTATATCAAAAACTTTAAATTTTAACAATTATATATGAGAACAAGCAACTGTTTTCACGAAGTCACTTTCCAAGGTCAATTCAAACAAAATAAAACAATTATATGTATATTGCCAACAATAAAAAATACATTTACCACGTATTTAAAATTTATAATTGCATTTCAAGGGCTTCACTGTAACTGAATATGAACCAACAACTCCAGGCAGATATGTTATGAAACCAAGGGTAAATGAGATATAAAATTATTATTGTATGTTTTTTTGATTTTCCAAATTAAATTTTTCAAAATTCTTCAGGATTCTTCTGCATCAAGTGTACCACCGGTGTTGAAGACGATTTTGAAAAAATCTAATTTTTCGGAGGTCAGTTGCGAAATAAAATTATTATAACTGATGTTTATGTGACTTTTACAATTCTTTTAACCCTTTGACTACTACCAAAGTTAACTTATATAAATTACTAAATAAATTTAGGAAGTTTCAATGCCGACCACTGGCAAAGGAGCCAAATCCAAAATAAAATCAGGAAAAAGAACAAAGGTGAGAGGAAAGTGCTGCAACTAAAAATTTAATGCGTGATATATTATTACTTATTGATTTACATTATAATTATTTTATTTTTTATTTTTCTTTCTTTCTTTCAGAAAAGCGCTTCTGATGCTGTGTATAAACTTTCGGTAATTATTGTTAGTTGATAAAAAGTTCATTGATGTATTAAGTAGGCACTAATTAAGGCGGGGTTTCTTCTATTTGATTACTATTTTTCATAATCTCATTTTCCTACTGTTTGTCCTTTGTTCACTTTTGCCTATTTGGGGATGAAGGAATTGAAAGATTTCAAAATTATGTTAACGTAGTACTCAAATGGCCTATAAACTACCTCTGGCACATTTTACATAGTATTTAAAATTTCTATGTTTAATAGGATCGTACTCCAAAGATTAAACTTGCTAAGAAGAGAGTTACAACTCGTAAGGTCAACACCAAGAACAAGAAGCACGTGCAGGTTAGCATTGATAATAATTTATATATATATATATATATATATATATATATATATATATTAAAAAATTATATATAGTTTATTTAAATGAAAATAATATTTAATTTTAATTGAATTTGTTTTCAGATATCTGCCAGTGATCTAAAGGAAGTTTCGGTTGTGGTAAGTGAACAAACAATTATTTTTAATTTACTTAATTCTTTATCCTATCCTAATTTTTATTATTTTTATTTTCTTTTAATTCAACTTAATGTTTTATATGAAACTATATATATACAATTTAAAAAGGCCATACAAAACTTTTATGAGATAAAAATTTATTGAACAAATCAACTACTTCGACTATCTATGAAGCGCGTTTTTCAACGGATTATTTTTCTTTGACACAGTAAACAGGAGTGTGCAGACGCGTCATTTCTATAAAATTGCTCTATGTTAAATTTTCAGTTAGCGTTATTATTATCGACTAATTTTAAATTTCATATATCTTATTTCGTTACAAATTTATCAATCTTTAATAGTATGTAAATATTAATGTCGACATTGGTTTTGAACTTTTTCGGAGTAGATTGATCATGTTAATTTCTGTGAATTTTTTTTTATTTTGATTAAGATATATAAGTTTTATGATTTTGACCTAGTGATTGCTTAATGATGACTCACATCAAGTGTCAAAAAGTATAAGAAAATAATTTTTTCTTAACTCATTTCTTTATTCCGACGAATGGGCGTTAAATTGAACATGTTTAAAAAAAGTAAAAGCTTGAAAATTATAAAAATAACTACACTTCAAAACTAAATACGTTCCATTATATGGTTTTCAACAACTTTCATATGAATTCATATCACTAATTTTTTGTCAGAAGCACTTGTAAATTGAGTCTATAATCGTATGAGTTTGTAGTCGATCGTTATTCGATCGAGCATTTCTTACATAACACCTAACCTCCAAATGTCGTAAATGTCAAATAGTAAATGTAACTTTATGATAGCCCTTTTTTAACACACAGGCGAATACTAAAAGAAAATTCTGACATTTGGACCAATTGGAAGTTAGTTTTTATATGTAAAACGCTCGATCGAACAACTAAGACATTGCCTTTTCCTGACTATCAACTCAGACATGAATATATATGTATATATGTATTCATGTATTTATTTATTTATGTGTATGTATGTATCTATATATTTATTTATTTTCTTACAGTTACACCGGTTGCCGGAAGACGTTGTAGCCAAGTATCGTGCAAAGTTAGAGGTAAGAAAATTATTAATAATAATTATTATAATTTTAATTTATTAAATTTAATTCAAAAAATAATTATATTTTTATCAAATTACCTTTTATAGAATGGCTCTAAGAATGCAGTGGATGTCAAAGCACCCAATAAAAGAACTCGTGGTGCCAAGGTAAGTGTGTTTAATATGTATAAATTTTGTGTTTTGGATTGACTTATTGATATTACTTAGAAATTTGTAATTTGCGCAATTTGTTTATTCTGTCTTATGCTATTTTAATTATAACAAACGATGTTTTGATTTAAGGTTCATTCAATTTGAATAGTAAATATTGTAAAATTCAGGACATATAGAGAATATATACAGATTCATTGAATTCAGTCTAATAATTTATTAATAAATAACTAGTGGCGCATGGCATTGTGCTTTAAGGCAAATTGCTTGAACTTCCCGTACCAAAAATTAAAATTTATAAAATGTTTAATTATTTTTTGTTTTCGAAAATTTGATAAATCTGGTTATTTTTCTAGCGCAAAATGCCAGCTAAGAAGCAGCCAAATGTTAAAACTGGAAAAGCGGGCCAAAACATCGACAAGCCTTCCCCAGCTATCAAAAGACCAAAAATGGAAACGGTGACAAAATCTCAGGATGATGAAAAGTATAACCTGGTATGTTAATAAAATTAATTGTTTGAGAAAATCATCATCAGTCATTGAAAAACTATAATTCATTTACGGCACTGTAGTTTTTAAAAGTAGGAAATGCATGTAGAAATTTATTGGAAGTTTTTGGTGAAGGTACAGGTTTTGATGGGGTATGCAAAAGATGATACAAAAAAATTTAAATAGGCGTTTTTGACCTTTCTATTCCGGGCGAGCATTTTTGATAGACGACTATGTTGGCAAGGAATTGTTGGAGAAAGGATAGGATTGGTGTGGAATGATTGCAGATACGATCCACATGAAAAAATTTGATGATTGAGCTGTCATATTTGCATGTTTGTTTTTTTTTTCAGAACAGAATTGAGTTTTTTTTTTGAACCAGGCGATAACTGGGGCCGAAAAGTGGATTCATAGACATTGCACTACATATGTTTTCCGTTATATATAGTGCTCAAACATAAAAGGGTATGTGACGTCACATGTCTGAGCGAACATTGCCGACGACAATCGGGGATTTCTCCGATTGATCAAATTTCATATATCATATGTTACGTGCCTAATATAGGCCTTAAAATACATAGACCGATTTTAATAGGTGGATTCAATTTTATGTACATTTATTTCACAGGAAAAATATTATCAATATCATTTCTTACAAAATTATCAGCCGTCGCAATTGCTATTATATTACTAAAATAAAACATATGACATATGACATCAATCGGGAGAGTCCGCGATTGTCGTCGGCAATGTTCGCTCAGACATGTGACGTCACATACCCTTCTATGGTTGAGCACTTATTTTGCGCTCGACTAGCAGTCCATGTAATATAAGGTCTATAATGGATTACATAGAACCTCTTATTGTCATTTGTTTTTGTCCCTAATATTTTTTTTGACGGGCAAGATAACAAACACTGATTAGAATTTTTGCAACTGAAGAAAGAACATTTTTCAAAAATGGGGTAAATAAATTGTCCGCAGAATGCCAAAAAATAATAATGGCAATAACCTTATTCAATAATCTTATTTTTTTTTATTCCACAAACGGACAGAACTTTCCGTAGCACATCATTTGCTTCGTAAAAAATTATTAACTTGGCATACTAAATTTTGTAAGAAATTATTTTCTTTGCTTTATTTATTAAATCTTTCATTTCCTACAGCTTTCATCATTACCAGAAATTGCCTTAGATGATTTGGTTAATAGGGAGTGCGGAAATTGGAGGAGCAACATTATTTCTCACAAAATGTTTTGTTTTTAATTTTTTATATACGTTTCATTATCATATTAAATATTCATTTATATTCTTATTATAATATATTTTATTCCATTATTATTGTTTAGTTAGTAAGACACTTTTTTATATTTTCAGTTCTTCCCGGTAGATGTTCCAGCACCAAAAGAGCAGGTAGAGTGAAAAATCAAACAAAAATTATAGTAGTTTAACTAGTAATTAGAAGATTAGTTTAGATAATAAGTACTAATTTACATTAGAATAATGTACTAATTTAGATTGTAACCAATTTGTAGCTTTTAACCAGATAACCTATTTTGTTAACAAATAAGATCTACTGTATATTTTATTATCATACCTATTTCATTTTGCATATTTGTATATTTTATAATATACCTGCGGGTAAAAGTTTATATATAAGTCAATCATATATATATATGTAAAATACTAAGAGAAATACATATTTTTCTGATTATTTACAAATTGTATTAATTTATCATTGTGTTATACATTTACTTTTTTATTTTTTTAATAATAAATATTTTTTAAAGGTTGAAACTTCGCAAGACTATCCTGTGGCGATCGAGGTAAGCAATGAAATAATGATTTAATTTAAATTAATAAAATTTCTAAATAAACTTTGTAAATCAAAAAAAATATTTACAGAATCCACCGCCAGAATATGCCCTAGCTGACAGATCCAGTACTCTCGAACCGATGGTAAATTTACCAACAGTGGAGAATGTCAATACAGATTAGAGGATGAAATGAAAAATAGTGGTGCCTTAGAAAATATCTGGAATTTCCAGTGCCGTAATTTACATAGATTATGGCTTTAACCCCATAACTTACGATTTAGATTCGAAAATATTGGGCTAAAGTTGTACGAACTGACGTAGCGTTTGTGACTATTTATCCACACAGTGTACAAAAATGAAAATAATTTTCTATTTTATAGTTTCGTATAAATAACTATTTTGTGATACTTGCGATTACCGTACCGGGCCGTGCCCGTAATGCGTAATATTTACTTCTGGCCCAATCATCGTACGCGGGCTATGCCTGTAATATTTACGTTTTATGTTTGGCCTGGCCATCGTTAAGGGTTTAATTTTTTTTGAAAATTTTGAAACAAATATTTCTTTTAAGAATTTTTTAAAAAATTTGATTGCTTCTAACAATTTTGTTAATTTTTTTCGAAGCGACCGCGCTGTGTAGCTGTTTTATAGAAGAAATATCGGAACTCGTATGCGCCGTGTCGCAATCTCAAACGATGGAACATTATAAATCTTAGTACGGAACTCATAGAAATATAAAGAGAAGGCTTAGGTGATATTAAAATTGCTATAAATTATCTGATATATCTAATGAACATTTTTGATCGTCAAATAGCATTTTTTCAAACTTTTGTTTTATTGGATCTCTAAAACCAATTTGCACCTGCCCCCTGTAAATCTAATTAAATCTTCTCTCAGCCAATATGAGTAAAATATTTTCTAAATCATTCAAAACGGACGCTCCGATCTCTGAAAAACTAAATTGAAATTTATGCCACTATTTGTCCAGGATCTTCCAAAACGGCTGGGCCTACCTTAGGCATTTTTAAAAAGTAAGATGTTACAGTTTTATTTATAAGCCACTGATTCACACTACTATTTTCGGTTTCAATCATTGTAATTAATACCAGTATATTGTTTTCAAATATATATATATATATATATATATATATATATATATATATATATATATATATATAGATGAATTTCATTATATTTCATTTACAGCCAGGTGATGCATTTGATGCATTTGCGTACCAACTTTTTGAAGTGTGTGCTAATCTTCCACATGTAAGTTCGAATTTATTATTATTATTTATATAAATAATAGGCTTTAATTAATGAATTATATTTGAAAATTGTACCGTCGACAAATCGTTCAACCAATTTATTAGAGAGCAAAAATCGTTAGCAATCAATATACTAGAACTATGCTATGCATAGCATTTAATTTCATATCTATTTTATATTTTCATATAGAAACTTATTTTTACTCTAAAACAAGCGTATATTTTATAATACGTGCCAAAGTAATATATTTTTGTTTCTAACACTTATATTTGATTTCAGAATTCCTTGACGAGGCCTTCAGGAATAGAAGTGCAGGTAAAGTAAAAAATAAAGTAAAATTAACTTTTTTGCTACGTGCGTTACATACAGTCAATATACACTTGACGGCCTGTGTGTACGGGTGTTGTTTAGTATATTTATAATACGTACAATATATTTTTGTTTCTAACATTTATATTTCATTTCAGAGTTACTTGGAGATGCCGACTTCAGTAGCAGTACAGCAGGTAAAGTAAAAAATGAAATAAAATTAACAAAAAAAAATTCGAATATATCCATTTCAAGGGCCACCCTAATATTTAATCTGTGTGAATTTCTATATTTTTGATTTTCAGGTACAACCTCGTGAACGTGATGAATTTGATTCTATAGCGGAAGAAGCTTTCCAATTGTGTTCTGCATTTAACGTAAGTTAGTATTTATTATTGAAGTAAAACTTCTTTAGGCGCGACTACGGTGTGAATTTGTGAAAATGCAACGGAAGAGCGTTACGCTCGAGTCGAGTGCCAATGATTCATCATTCGCTCTCGATGAGATCATTTCTATACGGGTCGATTGTGATTGGTCGTTGTGTCGCGTAAATATGATTGCTTTGATTACATGATAAGTAAAACAACTGTTCCCGTTCAAATGTTAGAGTTTATAATATATTACAAAAAAGCATATTTTTCTAAATAATTATAAATAATAAAAAGTGAATTGATAGATTTATTACTCTAAACAAGAAATCAAGCACAACAATAATTTGTGTGGCTGTGTATCATTTATATGCAGATATACTTCATAAAGGACATCTATGCAATTTATTTATTGCTAGTGCTATCGAAATTACTCAAAATTATTATATTTCAGCTGTCCGCAGTGTAAACGAATATTATAGAATTTATTAATCAACAATTACTTGACTTTTCAAAGTTTCAAGTTCTAAATGCAAATTACAATGACAAACCGATCATGTTGTATTTGAAGTATGACTTTAATTACATTAATGTTTTAAAATATTATAAATATTTTTAATGCTTTTATAAATATATAATTTATAATTTATTATTAAGCAAATATGTATAATGTTTGACATTAAAAACATTATTCAAAATTGTTATATGGTATATTTATTTTTAACTTAAATGCCGAACTCGTACGATAGCAAAATTGTTTTACTTCAATCACGTGTGAACCATACGCGCACTCTTTTTATTAACTATATTAGACATATGCCGTATGTACATCATTAACTAAAGCTAATTCATGAACTCTAATTAACGAATTATAATATCGTAAAATATGTTCAACTTATTAGAGGTCGTTACCAATCAATCTACTAATTGAAATCGTATATTTTATAATATAATATATTTATTAATAATAACATAATATATTTTTGTAATATAAAATTTGTATTTGATTTCAGGAACCTTCGCAAATTTCTTCAAGAAATTATCAGGTATAGTTAAAAAAAATAAAATAAATTTTTTTTGCTACGAGCGTTACCTATAGGCGATATCCGTTTAATGACCTGTGTGTACGCGTGTTGTCTAAAGACGATATAAAATTTATCGTAATTTTCTTCAATATTTATCACTCTGGGATGAATTATTGAAATCCCAGTTTGGACGGCTAAATTGAAATAATACTTATAGTTGTAATTACAACTATTTTAAAAATCATAATTTCATATAAGAAACTTATTTTTACTTTTACACAATTATATATTTTATAATGTGTATCATGATAATATAATTATTTTCAATAATAGTTATATTATATTTCAGGATTGGGGAATTTATCACAAATTCGTTATGAAATAAAAAAAATATAAAAAATAATCTTTTGCCAGAAAGTAAGATGTCACTATTTTTTATTTACAACACACGGATTCACCGTACTATTTTCAAGTTTCAATTGTTGTACTTAATCAGTATATTGTTTTTGAATATAAATAATTTTATTTAAGGGTCACTTAGAAACATACGATTTTCGGATTCTAGGTACTTTGCTAAAGAAACCATACCTCTAAAATGAATTCTGATGTCCCGTGCATTTACCCAAAGATAAGGGATTCCGAAAGAGGAACCATGGGCATGCTTGGATCGGCCCTCCAAAGTTAGAGGGGGCGGCCTGCAAAATCGAATTTTGCAAATTTTAACCCTTATTATTGGGTCAATGCACTGGATATCATAATTTATTTTAGAGGTATGGTTTCTTCAGCAAAGTCTCTTATTTTGATCCCCAGTATCCGAAAATCATATGTGCCTAAGCGACTTTTTTTGATCCTTTTTTCGACCCGTTCTAATATATGTATATAAATTTTGCACACTTGATTTTCAGACAGTGGAAGTGGGTGGTACATACAGTTCATTCGTTCCAGATATGTTGGAAATGGGAGCTTCAATTTTAAATGTAAGTTAAAATTTATTATGATTAATTATATAATGCATATGCTTTAATTAATGAATTATAATGCTTGAAAATTCTGTAGCAAAATCGCCCATTCAATTATTTATTAAAAATCAAAAATCGTTACCAATCTATCTACTAGAACTCTGCTACTTACAGAAATTTAATTTCATATCTATTTTATATTTTTATATAGAAACCTATTGTTACTATTACACAATCGTATATTTTATAATACGTATCATAATAGTATATATATATAGAACATTGATACCTCGCATAACGTACTCCATGCACAACGGTCGATGCGCATAAGGAACTTTTTTTTCGGTCTCGAACGTTCCACACAACGACTTTGCTTCACACAACGTACTAAATCGTTGTCATTTGTAGTCATAATACTATAAATGCTCAAATTAATTCAAAGAGAAGACTTTGGAAATTTTTGTTCCGCTGTGAATATACTTTTTGAAAAAAAACTATCGACAGTTTCTTTAAAAATTCAGAAGCTAAAACGGCACGACTGTGATAATAACTGATTTCGTAAATCAGTAATATTTTTTTAAATATCGTAATTATATGTAAAATATATCTAATTTTTTTAAGTAAATGATTTTCCAAAATAAAAAACAAATTAATTTTATTTTTATGTATTTGTATGGAAAAACGCTATTCGCATAGCGAACTTTTCGTACAACAAACTTTCTCCAGGAACGAATAAAGTACGTAATGCGGGGAATCATTGTATATAATATATTTTTGTTTTTAACACTTATATTTGATTTCAGCAATGTTATATCTTGGAGAATTCTTCACCAGAAACACTGAAAGTAAGTGAAAAATAAAATAAAATTAACCTTTTTGCTACAAGCGTTATCTACAGGCGACATTTGCTTGACGACCTTTGTCTACGGGTACTATCTAAAGGCGACATAAACTTTATTGCATTTTGCTTAAATATTTATTGCTTATAGAAATTATCGACAATTTTAATACGTTATCGAATTATTAATATTATTACTAGTTCCTCAGAAGTATAATTTTTGAACCCAAAACGAATACTTGGACGGCTTCACGACTCGTACCGCAGTGTCACTCTTGCGAAAAGCGTTCTTGTAGCGAAATGGTTAAATGTTATTGCAATTACAATTCCATTTTTAAAGAGGATAATCAATTCCATAATGCTCTAAAGTAATTTATTGGTTTATTGAAGTTTTAGGGGAAATTATTAGAAAATTTAGTTTTAAATTACAAAAATTTAATATGGACTAATAGCATCTATTCATTGTTAGTTATTTATTATATTTTATTTATTGTCAATTAAAGGGCGATTGTAGAATTTATAGTCCAATTAGAATTTTATTTTGTAATTATAAAATAATATTTTGTGATTCAAAAGTAGGATGTTACATTTTTTTTTACAAAGCACTGATTCACACTACTGTTTTCAAATTTTAATTGTAATTAATGCCGGTATATGATTTATATATATATATATATATATATATATATATATATATATATATATATATATATCTTATATTTGATTTTCAGGGACTAAAAGCAAATCTAAGGGCATGTTATAAATTAGACATATTGCTGCAAAGACTTTGCAAATTGTTCTCTGCAGCTACAAACGTAAGTCAAAATTTATTATCATTAATTATATTATTATTATTAACCATTTTATTTGAACGTTTATTGAAATTATATGTTTTTCCTCAAAACTTTATTAAAATTGCATCAGCGTTTTCACGAAAACTTCTGAATATAATTTCAAAAATTTAATATCGTTTCTCAGTGTTTTACGACGATCGGCCCAGCCGTTTCTTGGTGATTAACGAAAAAGTTAAAATTTTTCGTCTACGTTTTAGCCAAAATTCTGAATCTATTTAAAAAATTCAAATACTAATTGAAAGATATTGTTTGGCAATCGTGCTGATTTTTTTTGTATAAAGATAGGCCAAACCTTTTCTTCGAAATTAAGTGCTGAAAAAATTGTTTTATGAAATTTTTGATGACAATTTTTTTATGTTGACATATCATGGTTCTAAAGAACATACTAATATTTTACGGACCTACGACTATTAGTTTTATTTTAAAAATTCACCAAAGTTTAAAAAAATATGATTGTCAGAATTTGTGTCAAAAGTAGTTTTTGTGATGTGATAAGTCAAAATTTGAATTTTATGAAACTAAAAGCCATTGGAATAAACTCGATAAAGAGAAAACTTTAAAACTAGCAAAGAAGTGGAGAAGCAGCTTACAGAATTTCTCTAGTTGTATAAAAATGTTACCATTAGTTCAAATGATTAAATAATAGTAAGGATTAAATTATTTTTCTATAATTAAATAATAGGAAGATATGTAATCGTGCCAGTGTAGATGCCTAATATTTCTCAAAATAATTTTTAATGAAATTTAAAATGGCGATAATGTTCATGCACTAAATTATATAAATTAATTAGAATTTAAATTATATAAATTAATTATAATTTCACAGAGCACTATAATGAATATAATTATAGATAATTTAGATGTGTGAGATACAATTGGAAATCGCACAGTTTAGATTTAAGTGAGAGCGAATTTTTCTAATACGCCATTAAAGTTTGTGGTCCTTGCAAGTGAAATTTTTAATTCTTGAATACATCTTTGTGTATGATGATTAAAAAATTCCAAAACAAATACTTGGATGACTTGATGACTCGTACAACAGAGTCATATTTGTGGAAAACACTCCCGCAGCGAAATGGTTAAATGAACCATTACTGAAATTTCATATTTTCATATAAGAAACTTATTATCACTTCTACACAATTATATATTTCGTAATACGCATCATAATAATATAATTTTTTCATAATAGTTATATTACATTTCAGGTTTCCTTGCACGAGCTGTCAGAATCTGAAAATCAGTCAGATTCTGATGATCAGTCAGAATCTGATAATCAGTCAGAATCTGGAAATCAGTTAGAAATTGAAGAGCAGGTATAACGAAAATATATAAAACAAAAATTACAATAATCCTTATTGCAATTACGAAATCATTTTAAAAAAGCGTAATTTTATATAAGAAGCTTATTTTCACTTTTACACATTTACATATTCTGTAATACGCATTTCAATAATATAAATATTTTTTTGTCATATTTATATTACATTTCAGGTTTCCTTGGAGAATATATCAGAAACTGTACAGCTTTCGGAAACTCAACAGTATGCAGAAACCAAAGATCAGCAAGAAACTAAAATTGAGCCGCGACCCGAAATTGCGACACAAACGGAAATTGCGCCAGAATCCGAAACTGAGTCAGATTCCGATAGCGAGTCAGAATCCGAGACCGAGTCAGAATCCGAATCCGAGTCAGAAACGGACATGCAGTCACAGACGGACGTGAAGTCACAGACGGAAGTGAAGTCACAGACGGAAGTGAAGTCACAGACGGACGCGCAGTTACAAACAAAAGTACAGTCGCAAACGGAAGAGCATAAAGATTCCGAAGATCAACCGCAAATTGAAGATGAGTCGCAGATCAAAAATCTGCCAGAAACTGAAAACCATTCAGAAGATAAAAAGGTATATTAACTAGTGGGGCGCATGGCATCGTGGCTTAAGGCAAATTGCCTGAACTTCCCGTAGCAATTTTTTTTTTTTTTTTAAAGAATTTTTTGAAAAAAATATACTCTGGAAAAATTATATTTTTGAGAAACTATAAATTTGACAAAAATTTACTTTTTTTTAAAAAAAAAACTTTTTGAAGAAAAATTTATTTTGAAATGTTTTAGAAATTCTGAACTTTTTTTCAAAGCAATCGTACTGCTTTAACTGCATAGAGACGAAATATTGAAGCGCGTAAGCGCCGCGCCGCCGTCTAACGGATAAGCATTGGTACGGAACCCATAGGAATGTATGTAAACATACTTTATGTTAAAATCTCTATAAAATATCTAATAATTTGATGCGCATATGTCTAATGATCATTTTTGACCGCCAGATGGCATTTTTTTTACTTTTTATACTAGATCTCCGAAACTGCTAGACCTGCCTTCATTGCTCAAAATTTGATCAGTTTTTCATCTTGTTAATACAAGTAAAATGTTTTTTGAATTATTCAAATCGGACGCTCCGTTCTCTTAAAAACTGGGTACCGTTTTTGGCACTTTTTGCCCCATACCTTCGTAACGACCAGATCTGCCTTCGCCAAAAACTAATCAGCACGTCTCCTTATCAATACGAATCGAATGTTTTTTGAATTATTCAAATTGCTTCATCCGTGTTCCCGAAATCGTCGACGAAAATTTGTATCCGAACACACATACATCCATTTTTTCTAAGGTTTGCCAAAGTAATTAGAAATCTCTGAAACGTAAAGATATAAAAGAATTTTCATTTTCCATTTTTTTTGCGATTACTATAACTTACCCTACGAAAAGTTAAAAATAACAATTCCTCATTGCAATTACAAAACAATTTTCAAAAAGCGCAATAAATTCCAAATAGAATAATGTTAACAAAAAGTATTCAGAAATTTATTATAAAAATTGACTATAAAACCAAAAAAAAATATATAAAAATTGTGCTATTGGTAACTTCTGCTCATTGACATTTATGCATCATATTTTCTTTATTTTCAAGTAAAGGGCGGTTATAAATTTTATGCAATCGTATTCGGTAATATTTATTAAATGATAATTTATATATTCAGACTGAAGAAGTAGAACAACCGGAACGCGACATTTTGCTTGATCTATCACCTGTAATGGCTGATCTTTTGGAAGCGTGTGCTAATGCAAGGGTGAATATTATATAATATTAAATCATACAAAATAATGAATTAATAATAGTTCAACACTACAGTATGAATTTGTGTACTGCACGCGAATGTATCATCTCTTGCCAGAAATATTTATTACATGATAGGGGAAGTCCCGTAACGCCGGACGGCACATAATGCCAGACACTCTATTTAATACGAATTATTTAAGCGAATATAATTTTTTTTTTATCAAAATACAAGTGAAAGGGGCGCGGGGGGCACACAGGTGCAGAATCACCCGCCAAGACTCACCTGTGACGCACACGGCCACGGCGGGAGCAACCCTTTGCTGTTTTAGGCGCGAAATCACGGCGTCACTTACATATTAATTGAAGTAATTTTAGTATATTTATGCATTTACATTTAAGTGGCATTCAATTATAAAAATGATTGTTATCCCTAAAACAGTAGAATATTATTAGATATTTTAAACAATTTAAAGAGGTACCACCAAATGAACGAACATGCTTGTCCCTTAGCACCGGACACTAAGTCGTCCCTTAGTGCCGTACAGTAAACATATTGTATACAGTATACAGTAAACATATAATATCTAAGAATATTCGTCAAACATGTGCAGACACTCCAGAGTGTGGAGATGGCTACCTATGCGTTTAATACTGGTTATTTTGAAATGTCCGGTACTAGGTGCCACTTTGTAAAATCATATTTCTAGTCACCAAAGTTTGATTGATAGTATTAATTATTTTCAGCAAAGGTTGCGTTTTTGTTAATTAAGTTTGATTTCTCACTTTGTCATCTAACACAGGTCATAATTTAATAAACATTTCGTAGAATATTTTTTGATTTATTTATAAATAACCTTAGGTGTCCGGCACTCGGGGACTTCTCCCTAAATATTCATTACAGTATATTCTCAAGTTAAAAACAATAATTTTGAAGTTTCAATTTAAAACCTGAATGTTTCATTTAAATAAAAATTTAAATAACTATGGGAATAACGGTTTTTCAAATATTTCGACAGTTTGTTTTACAATATATCATGTTACTAGATTTTTTATATAATGAACATATTTATAATAAATCTTATATACTCTTAGAGAGAAAGGGGAGAACAAGAAGAAGAATATATTATTAATAATGAATCTTCATACTCTGAGAGGGAAATGGAAGATCAATCAGAAGAAATTAATGCTGTTGAAAATATGTTAGGGACATATTTTTCAGAAGAGGTAATTCATAAAACAGAAAATAAATATTAACATTGCATAGGTCAATGTTTAGTAAATTAAATTTAAAAAAAAGTTTTATTTTTGAGAAGTAAGAATTTACATTTGTTTACAAGATTTTCAAATTTCAATCGCTGTAATTAATACGGGTTTAATGTTCTTGAACATATGATTTTCAGAGAATACAAGAAACAATTGATGAATTAAATGCATTTACGCAAAACTATTCAAAAATGCATTGTGCAGTTACAAATGTAAGTTAAAATTTATTATTATTAATTATATAGAACACATGCTTTAGGTTATAAATGACATATTTTCAATATTTCTGAAATTTGAATGTTAGCTGTATTTGAATGTTAATTGAATCTTCCGTTTAATTTATTCGAGGGATATCTAACACTTCGAGCAAAAACACTATGTTTAAAAAAGCTTTTGCTAATATAATATCGACTATATGGTGTTCATATATATAGTATTTTATATTTATGATCGAAATTAAACCTGACATTGAAAAGGGTTCATCAGCAAACTCAAATGCCAAGATGCAAGTACGCAAAAAAACAAAATATTATTATTTTAATATTTTATGTACATTTGCAAATATAATACGGATTATATGGTGATCATATATAATATTTTTCATACTTAGATCGAAGCTGAACCTGTCATTGAAAAAGATTCATCAGAAAATACAGATGACAAGCAACAAGAAATTGAACCTGATATTGAAGAGAATTCATTAGAAAATTCAGATGGCACAACACAAGTACGTAACAAAAAAATACCAGTTTTATTTCAATATTTTATGTACATTTTATGTACCAATATTATATTTCATATTTAGATCGAAATTGATCCCAATTTTGAAGAAGATTCACTAGCTAATTCTGATGACAAAAGACAAGAAATTGAACCTGATATTGAAGAGAATTCATCAGTTAATTCAGATGCCGATGTACAAGTACGTAACAAAAAATACAAGTTTTATTTCAATATTTTACTTACATTTTATGTACTAATCGTGCTCATATATATTATGATTCATATTTAGATCAAAATTAATTCTGATTTTGAACAGGATTCATTAATTAATTCAGATGATATAACACAAGAAATTGAATCTGATATTGAAGAAAATTCATCAGTTAATTCAGATGCCACAACAGAAGTACGCAACAAAAAATACCAGTTTTATTTTAATATTTTATGTACATTTTAAGTACCAAACGTGCTCATATATATTTCATATTTAGATCGAAGTTGAACCTGACCTTGAAGAAGATTCTGTAGATAATTCAGATGACATCATTCAAGAAATTGAACCTGATATTGAAGAGAATTCATTGGCTAGCCCAGATACTACGACACAAGTACGTAACAAAAAATATATACATTATTTTTATTTTAATATTTTGTGTACATTTTATGCACTAATGTATAAGCTATATAAGCTTATACTTAGTATAAGCCGTGTAACTAATATATTGAAGATATAATATCGGCTTTATAGTATTCATATGTATTATTTTTCAAATTTAGATCGAGGTTGAACATAATTTTGAAGATAATTCATTAGGAAGTTCATATAGCACGACACAAGTACGTAACAAAAAAATACCAGTTTTATTTCAATATTTTATGTACATTTTATGTACGAATCGTGCTATATATATTATCTTTCATATTTAGATCGAAGTTGAACATGATTCTGAAGAGAATTCATTAGCGAATTCAGATCCAAAGGTACAAATACGTAACAAAAAATACAAGTTTTATTTTAATAAAATATGTACATTTTATGTACCAATCGTGCTCATATATATTATATTTCATATTTAGAGCGAAATTGATCCCTATTTTGAAGAGGATTCATTAGTTAATTCTGATGACAGAAAACAAGAAATTGAACCTGATATTGAAAAGAATTCATTAGCGAATTCAGATCCAAAGGTACAAATACGTAACAAAAAATACGTGTTTTATTTTAATAAAATATGTATATTTTTAGTACCAATCGTGCTCATATATATTATATTTCATATTTAGAGCGAAATTGATCCTGATTTTGGGGAGGATTCATTAACTAATTCAGATGATAAAGAACAAGAAATTGAATCTGATATTGAAGAGAATTCATCAGTTAATTCAGATGAAACGACAGAAGTAAGTAACAAAAAATACCAGTTTTATTTTAATATTTTATGTACATTTTATGTACCAATTGTGCTCATATATATTATCTTTCATATTTAGAGCGAAAGTAATTCTGATAGTGAAGACGATTCATTATCTAATTCAGATGCCGATGTCCAAGTACGTAACAAAAAAAAAACGAGTTTTATTTTAATATTTTATGTACCAATATATAGCATAAAGCTATCTAAGCGTTTGCTAATATAATATCGACTATATAGTGCTCAAATATATTATCTTTCATATTTAGATCGGAGTTGAACCTGACGTTGAAGAGGATTCTTTAGATAATTCAGATGACAACATTCAAGAAATTGAACCTGATATTGAAGAGAATTCATTGGCTAGTCCAGATACCACAACACAAGTACGTAACAAAAAAAAAATATATACATTATTTTTATTTTAATATTTTGTGTAGGAGGAAGTCCCCTAGTGGCGGACACCTAAGGTTATTTATAAATTAATCAAAAAATGTTTTACGAAATGTTTATTAAATTATGATTTATGTTATATAACAAAGTTAGAAATCAAACTAAATTAACAAAACCGGCAATTTTTGCTAAAAAATAATTAATACTATCAATCAGACTTTGGTATCAAAAAATATGATTTTAAACAGTGGCACCTAGCACTGGACATTTCAAAATAACCTGCATTAATCAAGTAGCCATCTTCACACTTTGGAATGTTTGCACATGTGTCTTTGACGAATATTCTTAGATATTGCAAAAAAAATCACTATTTATCCACGCTTTTGGCTGGGCCACACCGATGCTCTAAGCTGGAGCATTCATCATAAGATTTTCATTCTTTTACTAGGAAATATGAAGAATGGGAGTATGTGTAGTGATCGTTAGCACTTATACAGAACAAAATTAAATAATTGGAATAAATTACGAAAATTCTCACAAGAAATATCAATGTGTTTACTGTCCGGCACTAAGGGACGACTTAGTGTCCGGTGCTAAGCGACAGACATTTTCGTTTATTTGGTGGCACCTACTAAAATTGGTTAAAAGATCTAATCATATTCTACCATTTTACGGATAACAAGTACAACTTTTATCTTTGAATACCCCTCAAATGTAAATGCATAAATATGCTAGAATAACTTCCATTGATATTTAGGTGACGCCGTGATTTTGCGCCTAAAACAGGGTTGCTGTCGCCGTAGCCGTGTGCGTCACAGGCGAGGCTTGGCGCGTGGTCCTGTTCCTGTGTTTATTTATTTACAATAAATAAATAAAGAAATAGTTTATTTAAAAAACTTTTTTTGTTTTTTATTACTTTTTGGATTCTTGTTCGAAACTCTACAATATATATATATATATATATATATATATATATATATATATATATATATATATATATATATATATATGAGTAAGTTCTTCAAGGGCATACATCAAATAAAAGGCAAAGATTTTGAAGTTAATCTTTAATTTTTCCAAACGTTTCGACATAGTATTTTATGTCATCATCAGTGGATCTACAGAATGAATATTGAAAAAATATAATATATAATTTTCAATATTCATTATATTGAATATATATATTTAATTATATATATTTCTCAACATCAGAACTAACTTCTTTAACATATATATATATATATATATATATATATATATATATATATATATATATACATATATTAAATTTCATATTTAGATCGAAATAGATCCAAATTTTGAAGAAGATTCATTTAGTAATTCAGATGACGAAAAAAAAGAAATTGAACCTGATATTGAAGATAATTCATCAGTTAATTCAGATGCCACGGCACAAGTACGTAACAAAAAAAATACAAGTTTAATTTAAATATTTTATGTACCAATCGTGCTCATATATATTATCTTTCATATTTAGAGCGAAATTGATGCTGAAGTTGAAGACGATTCAATAACTAATTCAGATGCCGATGTGCAAGTACGTAATATATTTATCATATTACCAATGCATAGCATAAACACTTTGTCTAAAAAAGCTTTAAAAGTATTTGCAAACATGATATCGATTAAAAGTGCTCTATTTTTCATATTTAGGTCAAAATTGAACAGGGTATTGAAGAGGATTCATTATCTAATTCAGATGCTAAGGAGCAAGTACGTAACAAAAAAATACGATTTTTACTTTAATATTTTATGTATCGCATAAATACTATGTTTAAACAAGCTTTATAAGTGTTTGTAAATATAATTGCCTCCTACATATTATTTTTCATATTTAGAACAAAATTGATTCCGATGTTGAAGAGGATTCATTAGCAAATTCAGATGTCGACATTCAAGAAATTGAACATGACAATGAAGAGGATTCATTGACAAATTCATACGAAGAGATATTAGTACGTAACAAAAAAAAATCGAATGACTTATTTTAATGCTTTATGTACTTTTTTTGTACCAATGCATCGCATAAACACAATGTTTGAAAAAGCTTTATAAGTGTTTGCGAATATAATATCGACTATATAGTGCTCATATATATTATATTTCATATTTAGGTCGTGATCGATTCTGATATTGAAGAGGATTCATTAGCAAATTCAGATGTCAACATTCAAGAAATTGAACATGACAATGAAGAGGATTCATTAGCTAATTCATTTGACGAAATTCTGGTACGTAACAAAAAAAACTCAAATGATTTTAATTTTAATACTTTATTTACATTTCATGTAACAATTTATCGCATAATCACTATATTTAAAAAAGCTTTATAAGTGTTTGCAAATATAATATCGACTATAAGGGCTCATATATATTATATTTCATATTTAGGTCGTAGTTGAATCTGATATTCAAGACGATTCATTAGCTAATTCAGATGCTGAAATAGAAGTACGTAACAAAAAAATTACTAATGATTTTATTTTAATATTTTATGTACATTTTATATACTATAAACACTATATTTAAAAAAACTTTATATGTGCTTGCAAATATAATATTGACTATATAATAGTGCTCATATATATTATATTTCATATTTAGATCGAAATTGATTCTAATGTTGAAGAGGATTCTTTGGAAAAATCAGATGCCATGATGCAAGTACGTAACAAAAAAAAATACGAATGATTTTTATTTTAATATTTTACTATTTAATTATCTTATACATTCAGCCCCTTAATGGTGATCTGCCCATAAATTCCGATATAATGGAGCCTGAATCTCTATCAGATTTTGATATAGTGTATGTGATAGAAACATCCGTAAGTGACAGAACAGATGAAGTAGTATTCATACTTTACTCATTTTATTTTAACGTTTTAATAATATTATTACATTTATTTATGTCATGCATCCAGCAATCTGAAAATCCTGATATGTTCGTTAACTCCGATATGATACAGCCCGATACGGAGATGGAGATACCATCGTTAGAAACATTAGACAGAAAAGATGAGGTAATATTTATATTTAAATTTACACTAAACTTAAGTGTTTCAATTTGTTTGTACAATATTTTTAGGAGTCTGTAACTGATGAAGAATCTCAAAATTCACATATTACTAACAATGAACCATCTCCATGTACCTCAACGCAAGAAATGCCTGAGATTGACGAAGGAACGTGCGAAAACCAAGATCAAGTAATATTTTATATTCTTAATACATTTATAATTAAAGTATCATTATTTTATTCATTCGATTTATTTAGATATTTGAATGTGATGATCAACCAAAGAATGCCGATCAGGTTGCGACAATCTCATCATCTACGGTATGTGATACAAATAATATCCATTATAATTCACACTAAACTCAAATATTTAAATTTATTTGATCTATATTTTAGGGGCCTTTATATGATGATGAATCTCAAAATTTACCAAGTACTAGCGAAGAACCATCTCCATGTACCTCAAAACACGAAATGCCTGAGATTGACCAAGGAACGTGCGAAAAACGAGATCAAGTAATGTTTTATATTCTTAATACATTTATAATTAAAGTATCATTATTTTATTCACTCGATTTATTCAGATATTTGAATGTGATGATCAACCAAAGAATGCCGATCAGGCTGCGACAATGTCATCTACGGTACGTGAAAAAATAATTGAGATTCCAATATTTTATTTTAATAAATTATCATTAAAATTGACACTACACTTAAATCTTTCAATTTGTTTGTACAATATTTTCAGGAGTCTGTAAATGATGATGAATCTCAAAGTTCTCATATTACTAACAATGAACCATCTCCATGTACCTCAATACACGAAATGCCTGAGATTAACCAAGGAACGTGCGAAAAACGAGATCAAGTAAGACTTTATATTTTTAATATATTTATGATTAAATGTATCATTATTTTTGATACATGATATTTGATATTTTCAGATATTAGCAAGTGATGATCAACCAAAGAATGTTGATCAGGCTGCGACAATGTCATCATCTACGGTATGTGATACAAATAATTGAGATACCAATAATTTTTTTTAATATAATAACAATAAAAATGACACTAAACTCAAATCTTTCAATTTGTACAATATTTTCAGGAGTCTGTAAATGATGATGAATCTCAAAATTCTCATATTACTAACAATGAACCATCTCCATGTACCTCAATACACGAAATGCCTGAGATTAACCAAGAAACGTGCGAAAAACTAGATCAAGTAATATTTTATATTTTTTTAATACATTTATTATTAAGGTATCACTATTTTATTCATTCGATTTATTCAGATATTTGAATGTGATGATCAACCAAAGAATGCCGATCAGGCTGCAACAATGTCATCATCTACGGTATGTGATACAAATAATTAAAATACCAATAATTTATTTTTATATATATATATCCGTTATAATTCACACTAAACTTAAATATTTCAATTTATTTGAGCAATATTTTTAGGAGCCTGTAAATGATGATCAATCTCAAAATTTACCAAGTACTAGCAAAGAGCCATCTCCATGTACCTCAAAACACGAAATGCCTGAGATTGGCCAAGAAACGTGCCAAAAACGAAATAAAGTAATATTTTATATTCATAACGCATTTATAAATTAAGTGATAAAAATAATTGAGATACAAATATTTTATTTTAAGATATCATAATTTACACTAAACTTAAATATTTCAATTTGTACAATTATTTTTAGGAGCCTGTAAATGATGATCATTCTCAAAATTTACCAAGTACTAGCGAAGAACCATCTCCGTCTACCTCAAAATACAAAATGCCTGAGATTGGCCAAGGAACGTGTGAAAAACGAAATCAAGTAATATTTTAAATTCATAACGCATTTATATTTCAAGTGATAAAAATAATTGAGATACCAATATTTTATTTTAATATATCATTATAATTTACACTAAACTTAAATATTTTAATTCGTTCGCACAATTATTTTTAGGAGCCTTTAAATGATGATCAATCTCAAAATTTACCAAGTACTAGCAAAGAACCAACTCCATCTACCTCAAAATACAAAATGCCTGAGATTGGCCAAGGAACGTGTGAAACACGAAATCAAGTAATATTTTATATTGTTAATACATTTATAATTCAAGTGATAAAAATAATTGAGATACCAATATTTTATTTTAAGATATCATTATAATTTACACTAAACTTAAATATTTCAATTTGTTCGTACAATTATTTTTAGGAGCCTGTAAATGATGATCAATCTCAAAATTTACCAAGTACTAGCAAAGAACCATCTCCATCTACATCAAAACACAATATGCCTGAGATTGACCAAGATTATGCTACTGCAAGATATGAGGTACGTGATAAAAATAATTGAGATACCAATATTTTTTTAATATAATATTATAAAATCTGTTTAAAACAAAGTGAAAGTATGTTCAATTCAAATAATTTTTTGCTACTTAAATTACAAACAGCGTGCAAGAGAAGTAGAACATCCAAATACAGATTGCGCACCAGGAAAGATGATGTATTTAATGGACGAGAAGTTTTTCTGTACTAAGGTATATCATATAACATTACATTGTGTATATGCAGTTTTACATATTATTTCTAATTGATTTTAATTAAAAAAGATGAAGCAATCTGCACCTAAAAATATTAAGTGGGCCACGGACGATTATCATATCGATGAAGTAAGTACATTTTGCATCCATATACATGACAAAAAGGCTTTTCTTGATTAATTTTCTTATTTTCCATTTTTGCAGGATCCAGAAGATACAGATGAAGATGATTGGACGGATATTGATTCTGAAGACGCGATGTTTGAAGACGAAGTAAATTTGTATTTATATATTAATATTATGTCATCAAAAGTTACACAAATAAACGATTTTACAGGAAGAAGAACATAGAGAAGATTGGTTGTTCGGAAACTCGGGAAAGACCAAGATAAAATTCGAGTCATATGTAGACGATGGTAGTTGTGCGTCAAACATACGAGTCAGGGTCAGTATATTATGATAAGAGATAATTGTAACAATAATTGTTTTGAAAAAATATTAATTAACACTAATACCTATATCTACCACAGCGGGTAAAATGACCCGACCCTGCTTGAGTGTATAAAATATGAAAATTAGATTTAAAAAAATCTGAAAATATTAGCATTTAGACTATTTAGAGCAAATTTGGGTCGTTTTATTTTCTTCGCAGTATCCAATTTGACACCTCCTATAGAGACAAGCATCTATATTTGACTTGACCATAATTTTTTCGTTTTAACTTCCCGTAGGGTAAGTTATAGTAATCGCAAAAAAATCGAAAATGAAAATTTTTATATATCTTTACGTTTCAGAGGTTTCTTAACATTTTGGCATACCTTAGAAGAAATGGATGTATGTGTGTGTGAGTGTGTGTGTGTGTGTGTGTATGTGTGTGTGTGTGTGTGTGTGTATGTATGTATGTATGTACGTGTGTGTATGTATGTGCGGATACAAATTTTCGTCGACGATTTCGGGAACACGGATCAACCGATTTGAATAATTCAAAAAACATTCGATTCGTATTGATAAGGAGACGTGCTGATTAGTTTTTGGCGAAGGCAGGTCCAGCCGTTCCAAAGATACGGGGCAAAAAGTGCCGAAAACGGTAACTCAGTTTTTAAGAGAACGGAGCGTCCGATTTTAATAATTCAAAAAACATTTGACTTGTATTGACAAGATGAAGAATTAATCAAATTTTCATGAGGGCAGGTCTAGCGGTTTCGGAGATCTAACGAAAAAAGTAAAAAAAAAATGCCATTTGGCGGTCAAAAATGATCATTAGACATATGCACATCAAATCATCAGATATTTTATAGAGATTTTAACAATAAGTATAAATTTTGTTTGCATTCCTATGGGTTCCGTACCAATATTTATTCGTTAGACGGCGACGCGCCGCTTACGCGCTTTGACATTTTGGCACTATGCAGTTAAAGCAGTACGATTGCTTTGAAAAAAGATCTTCCAAAATATGCCAAAATAAAGAAGAAAACATTATTTTTTCCAAAAAAAAATTTAAAAAAAAAAAAAAATAGATTTTTTTTTGAAAAAATTTTTTTTTCAAAAAAAAGTAATTTTTTGTTTAATTTATAGTTTCTCAAAAATCTTATTTTTTCGAAGTAAATTTGTTTTAAAAATGTCAATCGTTTTTAAAAAAATAATAATTTTTGGTACGGGAAGTTCCAGCAATTTGCCTTAAGGCACGATGCCTTAATTGCCTTAAGACAGAATTCCACTTACAGCTAGTTTTGTTCTTTTTTTGGTTGTTCACGGGTTTCTCAAAAATGAGCGCCTTCTTATATTGCTTTAAAGAGTTTTTTTTAAAGAAAATTTCAAATTAATCTGTTTTCAGAAGTTGGTTCTGCTGACTATCAAATCAACTAAGAGTATCGTTGATATTGTTTCTAATCATAGTTTTATAAAACAAAAATCCCGCGACTATAATTTTATGCAAAACAATAAAAATGTTAATAAATAAATTTATTTTTCTCCCAATTGTATCTTAACACTCTCTTTGGATCGCTTCCTATTACGCATGATCTTACATATTCCATGATACAATCATCAATTATCAATGAAAATGCAATAGGTACTAATTTTTATTTTAATATTTATATCTTCAAAAATCTTGTACTGTCTTGTTTTATACAACATTTCTTGCGCAGAAAAGCTGCTTTCAAAAAAAAACAATTTTTGATATGTTTTCAGATAAATTTTTACTAGAAGCTTTGTATTTTTACAAGTTTTAATATTTTTGTACATTAATCTCGGCTATTTTGAATGAACTACTTTATACATCGTTATTTGCAGAAATAAAGCAAAATAAAAGATTATTAAATAAAAGAATGCTCCCTGGGTCAAATGACCCGGAGTGATAGATAACGGTATACATTAAAATCAAAATAAACACAAAAAATTTAAAAAAAAAACTGTTTTAACAATAAATTAGTACAGTAAGTTGTAACAGTCAAATTTGCAAAAACAAAATTATATACGTTTTTCAAATTCAAGTTTAAAACGGGTCATTTAACCTAACCCGCCATTGAAATGATTAGTGTTAATTGGCAATTATCAATAAAGTACAAAATATCATAATTTTATTAGGTGAGTGAACGAAGAGTTGAGGCTTTATTGAGAATCGTGAAGGAAGATGTGAAGAAGTTCACACATTATGCTGAATTGAAGAGACTGTTGAGGAGAGTAAGTTCATTTAATAATTTCATTTAGAAACATTACGCCCGTCAATATCTGAAATAACGGGATTGAAATTTAAATTGTAGGAAAAAAGAGAACGCGAAATAATGGACGCAGCAATAAAGAGTCCTCCTCCTCCCAAAAAGACGTCCAGAAAATGACATGGTGAGTTATGAATATCTATAAATATTAAATCACAATTATCACAATTAGTTTACTTACTAGTGGTGTGTGGCATCGTATCCCAAGTCAAATTGCTGGAACTTCTTGTACCGTGATTAAAAATTTTTACCAGCTTCAAATTTTTTAAAAATTGCAAATTTTGATATAGTTAACTTTGTTGAGAATGTTATTTTTTTTAAATTTTGAATTGTCTAAAATATTACTTGAAAACATTCGATGTTTTTTAAATTATTCGCTGCGTAGACAGAAATATCAAAGCGCGTAAGCGCCCCGTTTCAATTTAACGGTTGAACATTTAACATTTAGTAAACAATTTTTTTAGCCTCCTTAGGGCGTCCATTAATCACGTGATTGATTATGAGGATTTTAGACCCTTACCCCCGCTTAGTGATACTTGATGAAATATAAAATTACTCTCCTCTCCCAATCTATGTCACATGTATTTGTAGTACCTAGAAAAAACGTTAGATTTAGTTTTTTTTTGTTAATTTAGAATCTATTTTAAATTCAAACTACTCGTGCCTTAAGGCAAATTGCTGGAACTTCCTGTATCAAAATTTATAATTTTTAAAAAAGATTCAATTTTTTTAGAACTTAGATTTAGATTTATATGATAGATTTTTGTGAATTTTAAAATGTTTTGAAAAAAAAATGACCTTTCTGAAAAATTTTAATTTTTTTATACTTTCAAATATTTTAGAAATTTCCACTTTTTATTCAGCAAGCAATCGCGGCACGTCTGTGTAGAAACGAAATATCGAAGCGCGTGGGCGCCGCACTACAGTATAAGGGATAAACATTGGTACGAAACCAATGAAAATGTAAACAAAATATGTTGTTATTAAAATATCTTTAGCATATCTGATAATTCAGTGTGCATATGTCTAATGATCATTTTTGTCCGCCAAATAGTTTTCTTTGACTTATTTTTTGGTTTTGCGAAACCGCTAGACTTGCCTTCCCAAAAATTACATCAGTTCTTCATCTCGTTAATACGAATAAAATGTTTTTTGAAATATTCAATTCGGATGTTTCGCTTTCTCAAAAATTGAATTATCATTTTTGGCACTCTTTGCTTCGTATCTTTGGAACGACTAGACCTGCCTTTGCCAAAAACTAATCAGCACGTCTCTTTATCAATAGCAATTGAATATATTTTGAATGATTTAAATCGGTTGATCCGTATTTTCGAAATCGTCGATAAAAAATTGTATTCGCACATACATACACTCGCACGCACACTAACACACACATCCGCATATTCTAAGGTATCCAAAATGTTCAGAAACTTCTGAAACATTTTCGATTTCTCGGGTAAAAAATACGGAAACTCTAGTGGACTTGGATAATGACATTATATTATATCCATGTATGTACCAAAAACAACATTGATCCTTATAAATCAAATAAGTTATTGGATTAAGTATTACTTTTAGAATGAAATTATTTCTACAGTGTAAAGTTTATGTAAAATATTAGGTAATTAATGCTTTAAATTATATTTCAGGACGTTATAATCATGCTGATCCCAATATAAAATTTAATACTGACTCTCACCACGTAAGTTGTTTTAAGCATGCATGTTTTAATTATGCTAAAACGTATTACATATAGAAATCTTATGTTTTCAGAATTATTGTTATGAAGTCAATATGCAATCCAGCAACAAGCGACAATGTAAAATATGGCATTTAGAACCGCAGTTAACAGTAAGAACGAAAAACTTGTGAAAATTCGAGTTTAACATCACAGCCGTAACAGTCAATATTCCGACTGCAAATACTAGTTAGATGCTATTATCCCATATACACAAAATGTGTATAATTTAAATGCTTATAATTTAAAATTAGCAATATATATAAAAATAATCAATTTATTCACCTGATTTTGTATGGTATGCATGTTAACCCTTTGGACCTAAAAAGAAATGATAAACGAAATAAAAATTGTGATATGTAACTATGGTTAAGGGTAAAAATGAAACATTTTGTGATTTGTGATTAATGTGATATTTTTAACGATAATTTGTTAATTATTTAGAATTTTTACTTATGAGGTTATAATAGTAGCAATAAATAGTAATCTGCCTAAAGGCAAGTCCATAGTGTAAGGCACCACAAATCAATGATTCCCTTTCCTTCCCTTGTGTATTATTCCCGTTAACATTTCATTACCTTAATACACTTATGTATTTCCCTTTCCACACTTCCCAATAAATAAATGTTAAACATTTAAATATTTACATATTTATAATAAGTTGCATATAATTTAGAATAAAAGTAATTGTAAAAAAATACGTCTTTGATTTCCAAATTTCTAAAAGTAAATATTGTAGGTAATTTTTATAAATATATAGCGGTGCCATTTCTTATAAACTTAACTATAGAGAGGAGGACTAGGTACGATTGTTCCGTAGTAACAGTCGTCATACCAAATGACCTATTATGAGATAGGGCCCAGAAAGAGGAAAATGAAATAGGTTTGTTCAAATGAGTTGCTATTACTGCTTTCAGTCAATGCATTTTGGAAATGATCTGTGGACCGCATTGCTTTTAAAGAGTCAAATGTTTTTCTTCAAAAGTAAGTTTTCATGTTCGAATTATTTTAATAATAGCTGTTAATTGAATACAGATAGGTTCACTTTGTTTGTTATTTTGCTGTAAGTTGCATATTAGTAATTATTTACAATTACTTTTTGCATAGCTAATTTAGCTCGATCTTATGATCGAGCTAAATTAGCTGTAATGTAATGTAATGTAATGTAACGATGATTTGTCTCCAAAAGCGTTGACGGCACTGGTGTGATCCGTATTTCTTGTCTTTTATGGAATAAGATTAAACAGAAAAAAATCTAACTTAACTAACACAAAATACGAAAGAGAAAGAGAAAGGGAAATTTATTATAAGAAAAAAAGATTTCACAAAGAATTCTTGTTAACTTTGTTTAAAAAAATATGTTTTGTTATATGTTGTTATATTTTATTTATAAGGTTTAATCATATGTGTATGTTGTGTTGTGTAACATATTATTGTTGTCAACGACAGTGTTAATAGTATTGTTTTTTAACCTATGATTTAATTTTATGACAGATCCATTATATTTAAGGACAGTATTTCAGTATTTTCACGTTCAAATAATCACTTCTTTTTTTTTCTCCCAGCTAATTAACAAAATTAGTGCTGATCAAAAAAAAAGTGGCACAACCGTACCCTGTCTCCCCCACTGATAGATAGCTCTAAATGCATTGGAAAATCAATTAGCCAGAACATTTAGATTAATTAACATGCCATGTTGCGTGTGCATATAAATTGACAGACACCGCCCATCAATCAACGTCATTAGTAGGACATCATGCACACAACTATAACATCATTAAAATATTCGATTAATTTGCATAATAAATTTGAACTGTGTCGTAAAATTATATATTTATAAAAAGTGAGATCTAGGTGGTTTGGTGGTACAGGGAAGTTCAGATCTGGTTTAATCCGTTTGAATCTGAATACATTTTCATCCTATTATATATCAAAAGTTTGTCAAAATTTAACTATGCTTTGCTTTATTAGTGGCTCCGTAGAGAACTTGGACAGTTCAGAACGAACCTGTGCGCCTGGTGATGTTAACGTCAGCATCCACACCAGTCAACTCGAAGCGGTCTTCCCGCTGGCACAAAACGGTGTCGAATGAAGCTTGTTTTGCCTCGTCTCTCGGTCTCGGCGGAGCACTCGGAACGCCGTATGTTCCGCTCTGTCCCATATCGCGCTTCTGATTACAGCGTCCGCGTCCTCTCGCTCGCGCTTTGCTCGCGTACGGGGATCGCTTGGCGCCATTCGCGAGCATCCCAGGCGTCCATTGGCCCGCGGGCGTGGTGCACATACCCATCTGACTCGAGCGCATCGACGTGTTCTCGTGGGATGTGCAGTCCTGGTTCTCGAGCGGCCGGCCGTTTCCCAACAACGTCCAACGTTGATCAGTGATCAACTTGCCGTTTTTGGATTAACGCGCCTATTTTTATACCCGCGACATAAAAAATTTTTAAAGTTTTCACAAAGAAATAATTTCAAAATTTTCAAATCCTGTGTTATATAAAAAAGTGAGATGTGCCTTTCAATTCGTTTATCTTTGTGATCAATTGTAGTGTAAATATTATTAAGTTCAATTACTTTATAACAACGTGGTGATTATTTTTCTGTTTGAGTGAAGAACGGAGAAATTGCAGATTTCCCACTGTTGTAGCCCAACGAGGATTCCGGAAGTCACCAAAGAGACATCATCCGCGCAGCCTCGTGCCCGCTAGACGCAAGTAAACCATCCCCCGGGGTGTGTCTGTAATGCGCTCCGCCCTAGCGCGTCATTAGCTACCCCTCGGAGAACTGTTCGACGTTCAGTTGGGGTTACGCAGTCACCCGGGATATAAGCCAAACGGGAATTGTCGCTCAGAATCCGAAGAGGTCGGCGTGCAGTTGTTTTTGATTTTAACGTGCTGCATTTCACTATTAAAAAATTGTTAAATATTTTTTTTTAAAATAAATCTTTTTCCGTGCGATTAAATAGTTTTTTTAAATACATAACTTGTTATGTCACTTATGTTGTGTTTGTATCATATTCTTTAAGACATATTTAGTGTCGCGAGTTTATAACAAGTGTTGAATCAAAGTGCATTAATTATTTATCGAACAATGAGATGCATGAGCATCAGTGTCTAAGCGCGTGAGTCTGTGAAATTTCACGGCCTAATCACGGCGTCCCCTTGGCCAGCGGCCGCCTTGGACCTGGAGTGGGGCCGCAAGCTGTATCCGCCGGCGTCCAGCGGCCGCACCGGCCCAGGCGGACTGGTGTTTGGTTTAACGCCCGTCGCCGCCGGAGCCGGTGCAGACCTCAATTTAAACCTGAACATCAACCAGCCTCGTGGTCCAGTTACGTCCCTCAAAGAGGAACCGTTGACTTCATCACAACTCGCAGCGGCCAGATCATGGATGCAACCAACTGTCGATCAAACGAGGTACGCACAAAACTAGATATAAGAAATAGGACACGTGCAACGGATTGTAATTTGAGACGTAGTAATTAACACAAGTGTAGCAAAAACCACCGACATTAAGTTAAAAAGTTCGTCTAAATCGATTAATAATTTATATTTCAGTAATTGTAATTAGAAGCAATGATTTTACATATTGCAACATAATATAGAAAATATTGGCATGTGCAACTATGTAAAATGATTAAAAATACATTGCAAAATAAAAAAACTATATAAAAGAAAGTTTTCTCCATCAACTTTTTCAACCCAAAGTGTTTTCATCAATAATTGTTTTGTTTACAATCATAAAAAATACGAATTATTCTAAAAAAGAAAATTCCGTCGGAAAATTTCGCAATTGCGTACTCAAGCGACGGCAAATTTGTCTATCCGCTTAAGGGAAAACATTTTCGCATTAGATGGTTAATACCAATATTAAAAACCAGTTTACCGTAATTACAAAACTAACAATTGAAATACGTTATTCATAATATAACCCTTAAGTATTAAAATTAAAAAAATTAAAAAGTTAATAATATAGTAATTCTTTTACTTTAAAGAAAAAGTTAAAGCTTTTAAAACAAAAGTTAATAATTTATTAATTTTATTATTTTAAAGAAAAATTTATTCCGGATTTAATTTATATGCCATATGCAACATTTTATTTCATAACGAATATTAAACAAATTTTAAATTCTTTATCACTTTTAAAATTTATTATTCGGTGAGCAAATATCTAATATGTGACAATCATGCAAATGCCTTTATACAAAATCGTGTACAAAAAATTCCGTGAAAACACACAATAAAATATTTATTTTCATAGACATTTCGCGCTACTGTAAAAAATTTTACATTGCCCGTGGTCAAATACATATTTATGAAAGTCGTAAATAATGAGCACAAAAGAAGTCAAAAATATTTGTCCTCGAGGATGCTGTCAGTCAGCTATTGTGAATATAATTTGCGTGTGACGAACGCTAATCATCGATTTAACGAGCCGAAACATAGTTTTATGATGCCTGCTGATTTTTGCAGAAATCCATTGTAATTGCATTTAGGTAAAGGTAAATTTCGTCTTTATTCAAATTTGCACGACAGGGATACAGTGAAATAGCAAAAAAAAGTATTACCAGCAATAACAATCAAAAACAGATATTTTTAGTTTTGATCATAAAACGGTTGTATCATAATTTTGTTGTAAATGAGCATCATTATTTATAAATTATGAGTCAGATTTATCTCAAAAACTTCATGAATAAATAATCTAATTTTACAATAATAATTTATATTGACTTTAAATTTTGTCTAACTGTACTGAAAACAAGTATAATAAACACCTGTGTTAATGGATAAAATTAATTAAATTTCTTTATATATTTTTTTTATCATTTTCATTATTATTATTAGCGGCATTTCTAATTCTACGTTTAGAATGTTCGCACTAGTTGAAATTAAACATAAAAAATAAATATACTAATAAAAACAAAATTATTAAAAATGCATATTAAAAATAAATTATATAATACATGTCTTTTAGCTATGCAAGATATCTAAAATTAACTTTCATTTTATTTGATTAAATTTTGGATAATATTTCCTAAAATTTTATCGAAGTAAAATTGAAAATAATATTAAAAAGTAAAGATAAATAATTGTTAGTAGCGTATAATTTCTTAATAAAAGTACATATAAAAAATTCAAACATTTTTACTAATTTTAAATACATATAAAATGAATAATACATATAAATAGTATATTTACTATTTAAGTAATAAAGCATCACATTTAGATTTGTTAGTGTACAACGATAAAATAGAATAAAGTTTAATGTTCCAGTAATACAGATTTTTATTATACTTATATTCAGTGCAGTTACACAAATTTTAGAAATAATAAGTTCACAATCGTTAATTGTAATAAGCTGTTTTTAAATTTATTTCTACTGATGATAAATCTCCCACATAAATAATTGGTGTAAAGCATGCCAACTAGACTAATTAGAAAACTTTAATTTTTATCACGTCTAATTTTTTTTTATAAATCACGTATTTTAAAAATTATAATCTTTTAAGTGCAAGTGGTGCTTTAGTAAGAAAGTGACAATTTTTCGGTTATTGTGGATAATTTTTATTAATTTTGTTCATTTAGGCTTTGACCACAGTCAAAAATAAAGACAACAATTATCAAGAATTAGAAGTTCTTGTTTAACCATGAGATTTAAAAATTTTAAATTTGGTAGACTATGATAGGCGCTTTTCTTTAAAAAAATGTTGGCAAGTTCTACCAAATATTGGCGCATTTAATCATGATTGTAAAATGGTATAATACTATAATGTTTCACAATAAAAATTTTGGAGTAAAAAAATAAAAACCTAGTAATATATATATATATATTTACACATTTTTTAAATAATATATATAATATTTAATTTAATATAATATTAACATTATTGAACAGAGTGAAACATATGATATTTTAGATAAATGTTTACAATAAAACTTGTTCAGTAGTAAAAACAGCCTAAATTGTATAGTAGGTATTTTTTAGATTAATAATTCTTGTGGGATATGTTTAGTTTAGTAGCGATAAATGTAAATTTTCAAAGCTTAATAACATAAAGAACAAATATCTATTAATAAAAATCAATAATAAAAAATCATCATACATTATTTCTAATATCTGGCAAAAATTTTTCTATTTTCTAATTTACCAAGTTTTTAATTCACCTATTTCTTATACCCTCTCACCTACATTTTAAGATTTTAGTTATTGGCGTTTTTGTCCAAAGATAAAATCATGGCCAAAGATTACATTTTGATACGATTGATAATAATGAAATGAATACAGTGAAGCATGTGCGAAATTTATGGGCTAACTTTGCCGTAAAATAGACTAATGTTATAGAAAGGTTATGTTATGCTGTGTTTTTTTATATAAAATGGTACTAAAAACTGTCAAAAGCTATGTGGATGCTGTGCAGTCAGGCGTTTTAGATCCAAAATCAAATCTAAAAAACGCACAAAAGTCAAAGAAATAATATTATCATAAGTGCATTTTTCTGATGTGTCATAATTAGATAAATTAGAAAAAAAAATTTGAGAAAAAATGTTATGTGTAAAACGCCTGATCGCATTGGACATAATTGGCTCATTAAGATAAATTATTTAGTATAATTAATTTAGTAATGTAATTTAAAATATGACCAAAGTGCATATTATATATTTTTAGATGATATAAGATATAGAACGTAAAAATAGAGAATTAACATACATTTTTTTTCAATACCCAACAACAGTTAATGCATAAAATGTTGACAGTATTTAGTACGAATTTATATGAAAAACGCAGCGCGACATAGTCTTGCCACAACAATGGGCAAAACTGGCGCATTAAAATAAATGATTTCAATACAGTAAGATTCTTCAGTAATTAAAATTGCATAATAGGTATTTGTTAGAAGATATGAGATATAGAACGCAAAAATAGAGAATTATCATATATTTTTTTCTAATACCCAACAACGGCTAATGCGTACCACGTTGACAGTTTTTAGTACCATTTTATATGAACAATGCAGCGTAACTTAGCCCTGCAGAATTGGCCCATTATGATAAATTATTTCAATACAGTCAAATTTATCAGTAACGCAAAAAAATAACCAAAATTGCATAATAGGTATTTGTTAGATGATATGAGATATAGAACGTAAAAATAGAGAGTTATCATACATTTTTTCCAATATTCAATAACAGCTGATGCATACATAGCATGTTGACAGTATTTAGTACCATTTTATATGGAAAACGCATGACATAACCTTGCCCCATATGATAACATTGAGCATAATTGGCCCATTAAGGTAAATTATTTCAATACAGTAAAATTTTTTAGTAATGCAAATTAAAAAATAATTAAAATTGCATAATGGGTATTTTTACGCAAAAATAGAGAATATTCATACATATTGTCTAATACAAAACAACAGCTTATGCATGCCATGTTGGTAGTATTTAGTAGGATTTTATATGAAAAACAAAACGCGGCGTAACATAGCCTTGCCATGACTTTTAATATAGCAAAATTTTTCAGTACCTAACGCAAAAAATAATCAAATTTGCATAATAGGTATTTGTTAGGAAATATGAGATATAAAACGCAAAAATAGAGAATTATCATACTTTTTTTCTAATACCAACAACAGTTTTCTTATATTCAAATTTACCAATTGACCTATTTTTCAATTTCCCAATTTACCAATTTTCGATGATCTCTGATTGAAATCAGGAATCTTAAATAAATTACCCAGTGTATCGTTACCATCGCGGACTGCCATCTGGTGTTGTGTATTTTGGTTGCGCATTTCCGTGCACGTTAAGGCAACCTGTTGCGATTCCTACTAAATCATCAATTTTATAGCCCGACTGAGCACACACAAACATGGCACCCATACTTTTACCGTCGGCGTTCGCTCTCATACAGTACACCATCATTCTTGTCGCAAGAAGTGCCATTTCATTAATAACATTCGCCGTTCCGCTCGCGAAACAATAAAGCGATTTTGTATTTTACATAGCACGCCTGCTTCTCACTTATATTTTATGACGACTCAGAAATCCTGCAAGCTCCCAACTTCTCCCTCTCACTCGGAGGAGGCCTACGCTGTCACAGATATCATGATGAAAACGCTGATCGTGCACGATTTTTCGTGCAAATGTGTTATACAGGTATATCAAACAATAATATCATGTCCTCGTTTGATATATTTTTTACGTGCTTTGTACGCAGTGTTATCACTCATGTACGGATGTTTCGTAAATTTTGAATCTGTTGATGGAAATTGACCTATTCAAATCTAAGTTATTTTATTGTCATTTATTTATTATTATTATTAACAGCACTCAGAATTTTAAAAATCCGTTAAACTTGTAATGACTTTTTAACAACGTTGCATTTTAGATGGCAACTCCAAAAGGCAACGGTTGACCCATCTCAATTTGATAATTTATTATTAAAATATTTTCGTAAAATTTGGATCTGTTGATGTAGATGTTGATCTATAAGTCCTTCAAAAATCTTGTTATTGGCATCTATTTGTTATTATTATTAATAGCACTCAGAATTCTAATAATTCTTTAAGTTTGTTATAATTAATAACTTCTTAACAACCTTGCATTTTAGATGGAAACTCCAAAGGGCAACGGTTGACCTATCTCAATTTGATAATTTAATATCAGAATAACCCCAATACTGATGATTTTTTATTGGATGCAGCAATTTCGGGTAAAGGCAATTTGATTTGCTATGTATATTTTCAAATAAAAACCGATGCCACTAATGAATGCTTGACATGGGTCTGTCAGAAGCGATTGATAGTTTCTGATTTTCTGAGTGAATTGACTAAAAAAGAAATGAACTCAAAATAATATTTTGAACTAATTTGTTTTCAGTACCTATTGTAAGAATAATTATAATAATTGGTAGCCTGCCGAAAGGCAGGTTCATGATGTGAGAGCACCACAAATCAATGACTACCCTTTCCCTTCCCTGGTAATACAATTTTATAACAATTGAGCACTTTTTTATGTATTTTTCTTTCTAAATTTCTGCCTCCATGTTTCCTGGTCCTACGCTTCGCCTTTCAGTTCCCTGTATTTTCTCTTCTCGCAAAAGTCATCAATAATCTGCATTCTTCTTCTTCCCAATCATTTTAGTCCCATTTTACCTCCGATCACGTCATGTAGGAAGCACGCTTTTTGAAAATCGGATCCTATCCAGTTTTCTCTTCTTTTTATGATCGTGATCAGCAGAGTTCTTTATTGCAAGCTTTTCTCTAAAAACTATACATAATGAATATTTTTGTCTAAGCTTCGATTAAACAAAATCCATCGGATATTTTTACATGCTATTTTACTGCTCTGAATTGCTACATGTGATAATCGTATTTAATAACATCATGTCCATATTAATTGTGATGTCTGTTTTAATCGTTATCAAATGATAGATTAGATCGTCATGGATTGTGACATTGTGTGGACAATGTTAATCATTTGTCTATCCATTCAACACAGATTTGATAGGCAAATTTGTCTGTCACAACAATTTCAAATTTTAAATATATCGACATTTTTAAATAATATTTGTTTTAAAAACCAGGATTAATAGTATTAGTGGAATAAGAAAAAATTTTTTTGTCGTTCATGAAAATAGGCCTTGCTGCAATCAAATCAAAAATTATTCTTATTAAGGAAATTCTAAAAATAAAATTCATCGGATAGAGATAGGCCAAGAATTAATAGTGTTAGTCAAATGAGAGAAGTAGTATTACGTTTTTTATTGTTTGTTTACTAATTTGTAAAAAGATCTCAGGATTGATGCTTTAAATGAAAAACCATAACTGTAATTCTAAAAATAAACTTAATCAAATTGAGAGATAGTCCAACCGTTAGGTCGACTTCTAAAAACAATTACGTAATTAAGAAAAATCATCACAACAGGTTATAGGATTCTCATATATTATGATAAATACAATTAAAAAAATTGCTGTTTGCAAATGTTGAATACTTGACGATTTTTATCATAACTGAATCACTTTTATAGCTAAAACTTGTTCAAAATATATTTTCGGGACGGGTAAAAAGTTTTAAACAATTTTACTGTGGCTTAATGTTAAAATAAAAATTAAATTATATATAAAGTATAAAATTTTAAGTATAAATATCTGTGTTAAAATAAAATTATAATCATATCGCACATCCACAAGAAAAGTGTCAAGTCATAAAAGTAAAAATAAGCAGAAGAGCAAAAGTCAAAAATTTAGACTTTTGAATGAAATGCAAATCTTTTATCAAAACTAATTATCTGAACACATTCGTTAGTTTTTCTGTGTTTTGGATTGGAAAGTAGATTTGGATTATACTTCATAATAAAAACCTTAAATTTCACCCTTATTTTGACTTGTGACATTTTTCTATATCATTTTTTATGTTATTCTATTGCAAAAAGTTAAATAATAATTTTTAAGGGTCAAAATTGATGTAATTGCAATTAATGCGCACTAATATGACATCTGAAATTTTTGTTGTTGTATCACTTTTCTTGCGGGGTTGGTTATTAACTCCGTTTTAAAAACAATAATGTAATAATAACAAATCTAATATTTTTATAATATCCATTATTAAATAAAAAATTATTCAAACGCCAACATAAAACATGATTTAAAAAAATTTAACATCTTTGCGTTCGCACAAAATAATCGCTATAAAATGTAATTCTCTTCGCACAATCTGAATACAACAGTAATGAACTAAATAATATTCCATAATATTTTTTTCAAAATCGGTAAAGAAAAGTTTCGATCCCCAACCGCGCATACTTTTTGCTATGTGCGTATGTTCTTTACATTCTATGCACGTTTCTTTTCAGTTGTTTCTCTGGTTGTTGCAGTGTGGGCATAGGCCGCGCGCATTTCGAGAAGCAGCCGCCGAGCAATCTGCGGAAAAGCAATTTCTTCCATTTCGTCGTCGCCCTGTATGACAGGGCTGGACAGCCGGTGGAGATCGAAAGGACGGCCTTCATTGGGTTCATCGAGAAAGACCAAGTAAGTTGATAATTGAATCGTTTTTAGTAGAATCAGAAATCAAAACAAACTAAAATTTAGTATCCACTGTGTTAATGTATTAGGTCTACTAGAAAGTTCTGTCCAAATACAAATACAAAACAAAATACTTTTTTTCGCCAAATAACCTTATTGAACAATATAATTGTCATTGTTATCACTTACCTCTTGCAAGCGTAAGAGCAACTTGCATATCGCATGTTTCATTTTTTTTAACTGTTTTATTCAGCAATCAGAAATACATAGGAGTTCCTATAAGCTAAATTGACAATATTTGAGAGCGATGTCTAAGGAGAACTCCAATGAGATCTTCTTAGTTTAACAATTAAAAAGATAATGATACATTGAAACTAATCTAAGACTAAATCTAAAGGCCATTGACGTTTCAATCTTCTTACGCCGAATGGTTGTAAAATGTCGCCTATTGATGGGTTTAAATGTGATTCCAGTTCACCTTTGTATTTTTCCTTAAATTCTTTGAACGTTAATTGCACCGTTTTTATGTTGAGATCGCTGTGAATGGTTTCATTTGTAACGTACCACGGAGAATTAAGTATTATACGTAAAATTTTTGACTGAGTGTTTCATCTTTTGATGCAAAAAATAGAACCAGTGCTTCTTTGTCATTTTCTCCATTTTTGAACTTTTTGCTCGTCAAAAAATTTTGAAAGGTCAAAAACATGTGATATTCAAAAGTTGTATGTAATTCACTTTTCATCCTCAGTTCGGTTCAAAAAGAGCTCGATTTTGTTCCCAGCAAGTAGAGATGTGTATATGACAATTCGATCACCCAAATTTTTCTGACTATTTTAATATCGTCACGTCATTTAACATAGTATCACGCATCTTGAATACTTCCACAGCAATCCTATCTTTCAAATATAGTAGAAAATAGTTTGTTGAGCTCAATTAAGCCTTGCAGCAATCACTGATGTTGTCAGAAAAGGATCTTGCTCCTACATTACCTAACCATGGTCATCGTCTATCAAAAATACTCGGCCAGAACAGAAAGGTCAAAATCACTTGTTTCAAATTTTTTGTACCATCTTGTGCATATCCTATCAGTAACTGCATCTTCATGAAACATATTCAATAAATTTCTGCAAAGCTTTTGCAGCATTTTTTCTATTTCGAAATTTGTATAAAATACAGTGACGTAAATGAACTTTACCAGTCACCTTGGGTGTGTTTTTATTTTACACTTAAGGCTAATGCGGATCAGCTTCATTATCTAGTCAATATGTATACATTATTAATAAAATTAAAATTTTGAACATAGCATGTAAACGTGCCAAAAGGGAGGCCAGAACTTTTCTATAGACCTAAGCATCATAAACTATGTGCTCAATTTAACAAATTATTCCTAATATTTTATACTGGATTTTCAAAGTATATTTTGAGATTAATTAAATAGCGAGAAATTCTATTTCAATATTATTTTTCTAAAGATTTAATCATTGTGTCAGCTTATATTATTCCCCGCAATCTGGCAACTGTATAGTTTTATATTCCGTTTATTTATCAAAGCTCATGGCCATAAACCTAAATATTTGTACAAACGATGGGTACACAGTGCAAAGGCTTTGTCTTCGTTGCCAACTCGCTAACATAGTGGTTAGGTATTTGCATTCGCCTTCTACATTAATATAATCACCGGTTGCACACGAAACGTCCTTGCAACCGCACTACACAATGGTAATTTTAGTCCCTTGTAAACTGAAATAATCGCACTTACTGCAGTCGTAAGTCATGGTCTGCCTTTGCTGAGGGCAATACATGTTGATGTAAAATTTAATCAAAAGATTTTTTGTAAATGTTGCATTTCACTAAAAAAATCCTAATAATTTGCATGGACATATGATGTAAAACTAGTGGTTTTTGAATCATTCAAGTCGAACGATCCTCAAAACGCTCTCTCAAAAATTGAATTTGCCATTTTTGGCATTTTTTGCCACGTGTTTTGGACGTGCTAATTAGCACTTCTTTCGATTTATATGCATCGAATGTTTTTTGAATCATTCAAATCGGTTGATCCGTATTTTCGAAATCGTCGACGAAAAATTATATCCGCACATACATACAAGCACAGACGCGCGCGCACACACACGCATATACCTCCATTTTTTCAGAACGTAAAAATATATGACACAAAATATTTTCGATTTTTTACAATTACTATAACTTACTCAACAGAAATTCTATTGTTTAAATTTTTTTCATAAATGCTTTAAGACTTTTTTCTAATAATTTTCATAGACATTTAATGATAAAAATGCATATGATTTAGTAAGTATCAATTAATTTTTCCAAATATAATTAATTTTTGTTGAATTCGTTAAATATTTTATAGAAAAAACAGAAAATCTAATGATGCAAAGTTTAGCATAACAATAACGCTAAATAAAGAATACTTTTAGTCCTTTAACCCGAATTACTCTAATTTGTTTTGCTGCTAGTCACAGTTATTTGGAGCAAATTTTTATCATATGTACCTAATTTTAGTTGATAGAAAGGTTTAAGATCTACAAACGATACTGGAAGTCTAAGTAATTTTAACGAGGCAAAATACATTTTCTATTGTATTTGTTTGTATAAAAAATTAAATCTGTACTTCGTCGAGAATATTATAAATTATTTTTTACATTATGAAAAAAAATAACATACTAAGGGTGATTTGACTCGATGGTATTTATATCCGAATCATTTCAAACAGAAAAATTTCGATTTAAGGCGTTTCTTATTAGCTCTTTTGCCACGTACGTCACCTATAGGTGACGACCATTATGTCGCTTATAGACGACATTCCGCTTCAATTAATAATGCATTCTAAAAAACTAACAATTTTAATCACAAATTAGAAGTGTATATGCAGATTTCTAAATATTTTTTTTATTGATGATTATTGGAAATTGTTTAAATATATTTGTAAAATTACTTGGTCGGCTGGCTCGTACAGCAGTATCGAAACTTCTAATTTTATTATCAGATTTAATTTTGCAGAAAACGAATGTTTTTTTAACAATATTATTTCAAGTAAATTAAAGTGATGTTATTTTTATTTCCAGGAATCCGATAGCCAAAAAACAAATAATGGAATACAGTACAGGTTACAGCTCCTCTACGCAAACGGTAAGTCAACTCATTAGCAAAATCGGAAGTTGAAAACTTAACATTACTCGGTAGAAGAAGCAAAATCATTTCAATTCCTAAATGATTGATTGTTACGATAATAAATCTGTAGTAAACCAAGCAACTCTCGTCTTTCTTTCAAATATATATCCAAGTATTAAGTATACCACAGTCATTTATCATAGCGAAACTTTTTTACTTTTAACGTGTGTACTTCTCTCGCGAAATCAATTTTCCCAAGTGGAGTTCTCGTTCATGAATGTAGAAGTTGCCGTTGCCGGTTAGGTGTGTACGAGTAGGTATATCACATAATCACATATGAATAAAAGCGGGGCCACTGGCACGACTGCACGACGCGGACGCTTTAAATCACATTTAACCTCGGTAAAGGATTATGAGCGCTTTGTTTGCAATAATTCGTACACAATAATGCTACCGCGGTGTGCAAGTGCTACTGCACTTTCCGACAAACGGGGACGCTTCTCAAAATTAACAGGTAGGTGGACATCGATGATAATAGTCGAACAATTGATATATTTTTATTGAAAATACTTATTTAGATAAGGTCTAAATTTCATTGAAAATACTAATAAAAAACGTATATAGAGTGTTTTATTATACCCAAAAAACAATTAACCACATCGCTCATAGGCGACATCCGCTTGGTACCCTGTATGAATGAGTGTCGCCTGTAGTCGTATAAAGTCGCATTTTCCTTGAATATTCATCACTTTATATTAAATTACTGAAAATTGTAGTTAGTTATGTCGTTTTTAGTTCAATTTTTTTAAATTTTGATCAATATTTTGTGTATTCAACACTTGGGAAACATGCTGGCTCGTACAGCAGTGGAAACTCCATCGTCGGAAAGTGTTAAACAAACTGAATATGCTTTAAAATGGTTTTTGCGTATCAGCCGATTTTATTAAAATACAATTTTGATCGTAAAGTAGTCGCTGTAGGCGTAATTGTTAAATTATATTTATATGCTAGTCGTATTTTTAAAATAATAGGTTGTCAAATATCTCTCTTCCGCCTTTTTCTATTATAAACAAAGAGCAAAAAAGCGGAAGGGAGATATTTGACAACCTAATATGATGCATCTTACCGCTTTTTATATGGTACATTCTTTACTCGTTAAAATCTGATATTAATCGCTTGTTTACATGTGATCGCCTTACCACATATTTACCACATGATAAAAAATAAAGAGGGAATTAAAAATTTGCCCTTTATTTTAAAAATAAGTAATTATAAAATTATAATGTAAACTTGTAATTTACAACAATAAGAAAAATTAAGCCAGGCTTTTAAAATGGATCTAACTAATCGAAGATTGAAATTACTCTTATAAGTGTACTGGAAAATGATAAAAAATTATTGATTTAAAAACAGAATAGCACCTTTAATGATAATAAATAATACAAGTAAAAATAATTAGTGTGCGTAACTTCAAAAAAAACTTATTTTTAATTGAGGGTTGTACACCCCTAACACTGTTTTTCTTTAATTTGAGACCAATTTTTATATATTCAACACATACGGCCTTAACTTTTTACCTTCTCACTTCAAACACCTACTTCTAATAGTCATTTTGGTAATCGAATGATTTCAGTTTATTTCAATTAAAATTTGCTCGAACTTACAGAAAAGCTTAATTTTTTACAACAATAATTTATTGTGTACTTACAATTAGTGAGAGTTAATTCCGATAATAAAGTAGAAATGCTTATTAAAACCATCAGGCACATAGAGCCTATATTATAGACATTGACAATTTAGAGCGAATTTATTTTCATCTCTTCTAAGCAATAATATTGAAAAATAATTATATTAATAATAATAATAATATATATTAATAATTAACTCAATTGATTATTTTTTAGTAAAAGGTGTATAAAACTAAAACCTTACGACTTTTTATCACTTCGATGTTTTTTTTTTTATAACTATAAGAATAATGAATGAGTTGGCAATTCTATCGATTCTTTTAAATGAATCTAAAAATATTTGCACCTATGCTGTTAAATTATGTTATTATATACTGGTTAAAAAGCAAAATATAATTTTAATTTGTAATGTAATTTTTGTCAGAATCCTCTCGTAATAAAAGCCTAATTACTAATAACTTAATACCTACATTTTTTTATAGTATTAGTGGAAGATACACGGTACACATTTGTTTCATAGTGCATGAACATAGTTTGATATCAATTTATTTAATTTATTTCTGACTTATTTTTCTATGCAATTTCAAATCGACAATACAAATTCTAATTAATTTGAATTATATTTCAAATTCTAACTCAAGACATTATTTACTTCCTAAATAGTTCTATTAATTCGTTCTTCCATTATCTTAATTTGCTCTGAATCCATTTTCTTCATTTTCTACTTATTCTATTGCGTCGTTTTTTCTAATTATGTCGAAATTCTGAACATCATGAAATAATGGACATTCCAATTTTCAATTGTTACTTTATTTTGAAGTTTCAACTATTTTCTTAAATTTCTCAACTTCTTTTGGAATCACACTTGAATTTCGTAGTATCAGCTCATATCCATCATGCATGTCGCCAGTGATCACGACAAAGTTAGCAACACCAGAAGACATCTAATATAAAGTTTCATTTAATTATTCGAACTATGAGTATCATATTACTAACATCCCCAGTTCTCTAGAAAATATTCAGAAACTGTGTAGGAAGCGACCGTCCCGTTGCACACGCATAACGTAGCAGCAGGTGGTCAAGGGCTAGCCGCTACCACACGGTACGAGGCGCGAACGATTAGTAGGGTGCACACCTCGACGTAGTTTAGTAGATTAGGTGTCTGCACCATAACTATAGAATTATTCCTACGGTGGGCAATTTTCTCTCTATATACACTAACTCTGTGGTGCTTTCGAAAGATACCATGCCAATCGCGCGTTGGCAGAATTAGCAATATTATAACTGCGACAAAGCAGATTGTTGCATTGTTCACCTTCGCGAAGATGTTTATGCCTGCACCAGAAAATCCAATATGCTAATGTTTCAAATCACTCTGAATCTTTCGGCGTCAAAATTGGAAGAGTGGGGCGTTTAGGGGGAGGAGTGTTTGGCAAATCATCACGAAATATCACGTGTGGGAGGAAGGGGTATAGTAAGATATCACGTGTATTTATTTTTTACGTGATTTTTTTAAATAAAAATCCAGACATTTTCAAAAAAAAAAAAATCAAAATTTTTACAATTTTTCCTCGTAACTCGTAAAAATACACTTGATGTTTGGTGAGGGGGGTAATTTTGAATATCACCACGGGCAAAAAATCCTTAAAAATGGATCAAGTAAATAATGGACGCTGCCAAAAGCATGTAACGTTTTCACAAAAACGATTTCAAAAATTTGAAAGCCATTTGATGAAACTCGATAAGGACTAATGTTGCTTACTTTTGCAAGACAATTAGCCGAGCCCCTACTTTAAAATCAGTAGAAACGTGCGAAATTGCTCGTCCACGATTTGACACAAAATCCTGAACCGATTTTGAAAATTTAGAATCCATTCGAAAAATCATTTGGGAATAGTGCTGACTAGTTTTAGGTAAAGAATTTACTAGTTAACTATGATTGACAAATGGAATAATTTGTGTATTGACAAGTATACTTGTCATGAGTATAAATTTTGACCACTGGATTAGATTACGACTTTAAAAACAAATTTTCTCAAATTTCAAGATGATTAGAATATTTTGAGTCTATGCTTTAAATTGTTATAAGTGGTATTTTACCTTAAAAACATTTTTATAAGAAACCAATAAAATTTGGAATATTGGATCATGAACCATGTCAAAATATCAAAATTCTAACATGACAATTTCTGTTTATGAATTTCAGTCAATTGATAAAGTCAATTATATATATATATATATATATATATATATATATATATATATATATATATATATATATATATATATCAAGAAGTTCATGATACTTGCTTTAAGGCCATTTGCCATTTACACCTGGTTTTTGTTTTACCTAGTTTAGTGGTTATAGGCACTGTCAAATTTGTTAATGCTTTCCGAAAATTTGTCATTGCCTACTACATACTTTTATTTATTTTATTATTTAAAATATCTATGTCACTTTAATAACTAATATCATGAACCATGTCTATAATAATAACTAGGTGTAAGTGGCAATGACAATCTATACCTTCTGATAATTTTGAAATAATGACAAAAAAACTCATGTCAAATTTCAATATAATTTGACCACTAGCATAACTTAGTATTATCATTACACAATTATTTGAATTAAATTTTAAATTTCAATTATTTTAAAATAAGTTTGAGAATCCAATGCAAGTACGTTTAAAGAAAAAATATCGAAGTTTTAAATATTATCATTTCACGAAGCTATTAATGGATATAATACCACAGACTGTGCCCTATACAACGCTTTTCACCTGACTATCTATATATGCATTTCCACCGTAATTATACTCTCGGGCGCAATGTTGCAACAATTATCTATATTACTCTGTTCTCGTTTACGAGCAGAGTAAATAGAAAGATAAACCATCAAAGAAGTTAATATTTTTAGTTTACTTCGAATTGTAAATTGATTTAACTTGTGTTTTTTTTTATTACAGGTGTACGACAGGAACAGGATATTTATGTCAGACTTATCGATTCGGTGACGAAACAGGTGAGTTATGAGCATAGTCATCAATTCATAAATTTTATAAATAATTTTGGTATCTATAAACACTTTCTACTAAAACGATATTTGTATTACTATTACCGAGCAGCACATATAAACCAATCGTGTCACATCTAATCAATTCGAATTGCAGTCCAGCACGCGTTCGATATACCACGTTCTGATCTAATACCATCAATAGAGCTCGTAGGCAAACAATTAAATTGACTTAGCACAGTGCATAAAACGTAGAATCACATTATGTGATGTCATACATTCGGAGATATCAAGGCGAGTTGTCATTTTGGAAATGCGTTGTACTCCTTTTAGCGTGCGCGTGCAATCAGTGGCATAGGGCTGCGGCACACGACACTGGCAATTTCTATAAGTAAACAGTTGAGGAAATCCGATGATCGCGCCTAAATCTGTTATTAGCTGTCTGTACATCCCCCGGTAGGAAATACAGGTCCGCAATTGAAAAACATATTTTAAAACTTATTTTGAATAAGTAATAGCAAAGACAGCAAAAGATTGGCTCTTGAATGCTATAGCATTCATTTTCATTGTAATACAAAATAACGTGGATGCTATAGCATTCAAATTTTGAAGTCATCTAGTTTGAATTTAACCTCACGTTTTTGTAATTGGTACACTTGTCAATGTAATGACTAACTCATTACATTTTTGTAATTTGTATTGCCAGATTTTTTCCCAATGTCACTAATTACCATTATATGAATTGCCAATACAAGCGAAATATTTGACGTGGATGCTATAGCATTCACGGTATATAAAGATTAAAATATCATTTTATGGTGTCACTCGGTGTTTAATCAAATTTCACATATTACAACGAATTTCAAATTAAAATGACCATTTTTCGTACCTTGCTGAAACTCTTGCTGTACGTGAACGAGTTAATAGATTCCACGATTTCCGAGATATTAATTCATTTGTTTCACATTTGTTGAATGAAGAAATGTAAAGCCCTTACTATTGTGTGTGAATCGTTTCCTTAAGGGTCGAAGCCCCTAATACTGTGGGCGAATCGTTTCAGAATCCAAATGAGTCCAATACATTTCTTTTTGCAAGTAAATATTTTAAGTTATATAAAAAGATCACAAATTTTAATCTATGTTACATTTTTAAAATGCATATTTATGATTAAGATTTTACTCAAATATAATTAATTAATCCTTTTGCTTTGAAAGGATTTAGTCGTTTATAGGCAACATCCACATGACTATCTGTGTGCACGAGTGTCGCCTATAGACGACATCCAGTATTTTGATCCTTGTTTCAACATTTATCATTCTGCGTTGATTTTTGAAAATTAAAATTTGTTATTGTAATGTTTAGATTTTTAGAAATCTATTTTTTAGATTTTAAATCCATTTTTTTAATGATGATGGGAAAATCTTTAAATATATTGTGTTTGCTCTGTTCAATAGCGCTATTGGGCAGATCGCTGTTCCGTACAGCAGTGTTATTCGAACAACACTGCTGGAGCGAAAGAGTTAATATAAAGACCAAACATTGCATAAAGAAAAACATCGTTATGAAATTGAACCTGTTATCGTTTTTCCATCAAAATGATGGATGATGAATATAATTATTATATGATTTAAAAAAAATCAGGCATAATTATTATAAAATATTTAATTGAAATGAAAAATTTAATAGATATGAAATAGAATTGAAATCTTAAATCTTGAAATATAACGTGTCTGATCCGTTCAGTAGCCTTACTGGGCGGCTTGCTGTTCCGTACAGCAGTGCCACTAGGAAAATACAAAGTCAAAACATCACACAAACAAAACAGTTTTGTAAAATTTGAACCTATTGTAGGAGATAAAACCTTTAAATGCATTCACACCCAGCATATTGTCTTAAAAAATTATATTATTGATCGGCAATAAATCTATGCAAAAAAAAATTATAGTTTTTCTAACGAAATGACGTGGAATATAATTATTATGTAATTTAGAAAAAAAAAAAGATATGATTATAATAAAATAACTCAATTCGATTATTTGCTATAAGACAATTATTTAAACGCCACAAATATGAGCATTTAGAAACCAGAATCTATTGATTCGTTCATTAAAAAAAACAGTAGAAACATTTTTAAATGTGTCGATTAATATTATATTTACCTCTACCATTTCGGGCCTGGTAGCCGCGCAGGCGAACTGGGAGCTCAGGTCACGTGCGCGAACACGCGGCCGATTGTCATCGGAGCACGCGCCGGTTATCGAGTCGCGCGACTCTTGCGGGATCACCCCTATCACTCACTTACTCATTCACCGCCCGACCTGACTACCTGAAATAATCGAAAATTGTCAAAGAATTGCAAATATGCGAATATAATCGAAAAAAAGTTTTTAGACACATATGCAAAATTTAAATCTCATCAATTGCAATCTAATTTACTATTAAAAAGTATTTATAGCAATAAAAAATTGATTATGCAAAAGAAATAAAAATATTACTTGGTTATATTTGGTGCTGTATATGTAATTAAAAATAATGTCAAATCCATACTCGAATAACCATAAAACAAAAAAACATCGACGAGTTTAACCGTCCAATTCGGTCTGCCACGTTGATGGAAAGCAGCGGTTGGGAAACTTTTTTAATCATTACCTCAAAATATTTTTGTCTAAGTTGATATTACCCTCATGGCAAAGAGAGATAACCCCCTTATAAACAGCTACGTAGCAAATACAGTAAATAACAATTAAAAATATATTTTTTACTTCCAAAAACCCCACTTTTACCCCCAAAAATTACATTTTTACCCCCAAAAATGTATTCTTATCCCCAAAAATTACATTTCACCGCCAAAAATTTAATTTTTTTATTCGGGGTAATTTACCGCGGTTCTCCGACCACCGATGAAAAGGCTGTGTTACGCTGTGTTTTTCATATAAAATGGCACTAAAAACTGTTAAAATTCTATGCGTTTGCTGTGCACTCAGACGTTTTACACATAAAATCTAACTTCTCGCATATGTTATCATAACGCATCACAAAGATGCACTGATGATAAGATTCCTTTTTTGACGTGTTTACGTTTTCTATGTTAGGTGTTATGTCTGTGGGAACGACGTTATTTTCTAATTAATGGTTTCCAACTTTATTTTGTTATTTGTTTGAAAAATAAATATTATGAAATGTCATTCTCATTTGTTCGAATCTGATGACCTGTTTACTTTGATCTTGCATATCTAAAGCGCCTGACTGCACTGCAACCACATAGAATTTAAATAGATTTAGTACTATTTTATACAAAAAACTCAGCGTAACATAGGCTTGAATTAACATTGGTCTATTTTGCAGCAAAATTGACCCTTAAATAATTAGACAATACCGAGCAAAAAATGTTTTAATCTAACTATGGCTTTAGTGTGTGGTGCCATTCTACTTATATATTCTGCCCGTGCCTTAGTAGGGGACTGATGTTTGTGAATCCCAGGGATAAACAAAACAATGGCCAAGAAAATCCTATGTATCACTCCATCGAAGGGCATCCGTTTTTATATCCACAAATCTATTTGCAAAACACATGTTGCTCAAGCATATGATGCTCACAAATCTATTAACTTGGATTTGCCGTAGATTCTGGTCAGAGGAGCCAGTGAGATCGAATTAATTTTGCCTCACTTCATAAAATGATTTGAAACTGAAGCATAAAAATTCTGCTTATAGAGATTATACATATATAGAATTCAATTTTACGATGAATATTATAAGCAATGCAATCGTACAATTCCGTTATGGTTATGAAGGTAATTAGAGACCTAGTTTTAGCTATCATAATAATTGAAAAAAAAAGCACGTGTTTTTATACTTATTACAAATAAGTTTCGCAAATTATTCAAGTTTAACTAATATTTCGTACCCCAATCAAATTTCCAGTGACTACAAGTGAACATATTGAAAACGGATTTAGATCCGTGCTCTTCAATTATATCGTTGCTCACTTCGACGAGTGGATCTTGTAATCCTTCTGATATTCCCCGCCCTGAAATGAACTCGTACGAACACTTTCCCCATGCACAAAGTCATCGAAGAAGAATTAGATATTCAATTAAACAAAAAGCGCAACATTCAGTCTGACTTGCATTCCATGTCATTCTCTAAACCTTCTTAAGCCATCGGCTTGTGCCTTCTAGTATCAACGTATGGTGCAGCGTTCAACGTTCACCAGATAACAAGGGGAATAATAATGGGGAATGAAAAGGGAGATATATAAAATATATATTGATTTTGATGAAAAATTGATACATAAGAATCAACAAAATTTGGCATTGCTTATATGGCTCAGGTGAAGATGTTGTAAGCAGTGTTCATAAACAATTAAATACACCTAAGTGAAGTAGTGAAACTATTCTCATGGTCTCAATATCTCTTTTCTAAGATATATACTATATTTTGCATTTTTCAAAAGAGGATGAAATAAATTTTGTTAGCCAAAAGTTAATAATTAATATGATCGCCAACGTCGAAAAAGTAATTTAAAATATTTTCTTGGAACTGACAAGGGGAACCTTAGGTATACTCTTCTGGGATTTTGATGAAACTTTGCATGGTGATAGCCTTGATAGTCAAATTGAACACTGTGAAATATTATAGACCTATGAGAAGTGGTATAATTGTAAAAATTAATTATAAATGTGTGAGAACAAATGTCATGGCAAGCAATAGTTAATCTATTCAAGGAATAATACTATTCCTTGATTACTTTTTTGATTCAGTAAATTGTTCAAAGATCCCTTAGAGCTATACAAAGAAAACCACATAATTTTAGAATTTTATAGCTCATCAATCTGTAGAAGAAGAAAGTATAAATGTGCAATAAATGGATAAGTAAAAGAAAAATCAGATCGATTTCTTGAGGTGTTTTTAAACGTCGCACACAATGATTCGATTATGTCACGAAGTCGACCTCGAAAAAGCATCCATGGTGCTTTTAAGCTTCCCGAACAAAGAAAAAGACGACA